AAAATTTTAACTTTTCGTAGATACTAATATGATTACAGAGGAAAACTTTATACAATGTCATCTCGATACCTCTCATCATCTACATGTCATTACAATCATTTTTTTTCTTAACTCTCTTTATTACATCTTCACTAGAGGGAAAATACGAGTGTATAGGGCACTCCAAACACGCGGACGGACTTATTGAATGGCACAAAGCAAACTTCGCCCTGACGGATATGACTTGTCCGAGGGCACTGCTAGGGATTCGAACTTTGGCTGAAGCCGCTGTGATTTCGATTCCCGTTGATATGAGAGGGAATCGATCTAAAGGGCGAGTTACGATGGGGCACGTCACCAAAGTAATATATATATTTGTAGTCAACAATGAACACCTTCAAGTATTCATTACAGCTTACATGCCAAGTATTATATGTAACTCAGTCTAACCACACCCAGACCACACCACGCCAGTACTAACGGATATCACCTGGCTACAGGCATGTGCATACTAGCGTATAATCTAAGTTAATATTATAAAGAGGAAAAAAATATTCTTTGTTTCTAATACAATAAATATAAAATATCTACTAAATCGATCCACTTTGTAATGAATGCACTAAAAAATAACTATTTAAAAAATTCTTCCATCTATAAATTATTTTATTTATTAAAAAAATAATTTATAGCTAGCTGGTAGGCGAATTTCATATTTTAATGATTACCTTCATAATAACTGAAATCTACTAATTCTATTGAAATTAGTTATTTGCATGATATACAACTGATAGTTTATTACAAAGTTTTGTTGCTTTCCTTTAAATAAAGAAAAGAGTTGGGAAGCAAAGGACAAAAACAATTTAATAGGTAAGATAGTTTTATTAGACGGCTGATATTTTTATGAGTAAGGCGATAAATCTATATCCATAAAGATACCTTTCATGACTCACAGATTGATCGATTGATCTATCAACGTATATCCTAAACTGGTTTCAGTAGAAATTTGAAATTTGTCTATGCTAGGAAATCTATACTAGGTTTCCTACATTACTTTATGATAATGACTATATTTTCAGGTAGACAATTTCACTACCAAGTGCAGACAAATTGCAAAGGTCTCAATCGCCATGGGATAGAAGTAGAAATAATCTTTATTGAAATAAAGTTAATATAAGCACTTCAAATAGTCATTTTTTTTTAATTCTACCATTCATTCAGAACGTAGATTTAGCACAAGAAACTTGTGTGTTGCTGTTATAAAATAAATTGTTCAGAATCACATATTTAAAAAATTTGTCTGAATACAAACTGCCAAATAGCAAATTTGCATAAGTATATAACAATTTACTGGACTAACAAAATAAAACCGTCATAGTTATCAGGGCAGACAAAGTCCTTACATTCGTTCACTAAAATAATAGGTGAGCCAGCTATCACTGCGCTCGACCATATTTTAGGAAGCCCAATGATCCGTCCCACCACGCCACTGTCTGGATGTCTTGATAGAGAAATCTTTCTTACCGTCAAAAAAGAACTACCGACTCTGTCAAAAGAAGTTCATTTATTACAAACACGTGCCCTAAAATCGTGAATAGTTTGCGACATGTTCCTAAAATTACTCCTATCCGGGAGTGATCGATAAATCTACGGTGGCATTGACCGTTGCTGAAATATTCTCGTCCCCTCTGGCGCGTGTTGCCAAGTTGATACCACTTCCATTAGCGCCTGCGCATTTATTTTGGCAACAATGCACGAGACCGCTAGATCGAGCGTGGCCATCGATAATGGGTTGCTTGCGTTGATTATAATTGCATTTTCGTTTAATGCAAACTCAATTAGTGGTTGATAATGTCTCCAATATCTTCGACTACATCTATGTAGAAATCATTAATTTTATAATCCCACGTGAATGGAACGGGACGTAAGTTTTTTGTATTACCCCAGAACTTTTTATTTTTATAAATAAAAAACTCAGAATGTATTCTACCTGTAACAAATGTTACTGTACGAGTATGTATGTCAAACAAATCTGTTTTATATTTATGCATGATTAGATATTACTGCTCAATCACGTAGGCGTAATGATTCAATCACATATTTTGGGTAATGACATACACCTTGAAAAAAAAGAACAAAACATAAATCTATTTATATATATAAAATTATAATATCACATTGTTAGTTGTCATAATCCTCCAAAACAGCTTGACCAATTTTATATGTATATTCGGTATGTCTGAAAATAGAATATCTATTTTTTATATAGATATATTATAGTGGATGGCCTACCCCAATTTTCTTTTAATTTTTGAACAAAATTTTTATATTTTTCATACTGATATTAAAAAAGAAAAATTCCAAAATTTTCACCCTTCTACCACCAATCCGTATTTTTTATAGCGCTATTAGTACTTTCATTTACGTGGCAATACGACGTGTACCGGAACAGTTGGTTGAAGTTATAAATTTGTGTAAACTAAATTCATAAAATTGATTCAAAGTGGAATTTATAAAATAGAACGAAATATTTATTATTATATATATTGCTTTTCAATATACAGGCTGTAACGGAAAGGGTATATCAAGCCAAAGGAATTAGAACTTTAAGTTATACTTTACATTTCCTAAGACTATAAAATTTTAAATAAAAACTTTGTTAATTTGTTAGTAATTAATTGTTATTTTAAATGAGATTGGTATGCTGGTACCGTTCCATTATTCGTTCCAAGTTCCATGGTTTATGGTGTTGTTGTATATATAATAGATGGTATACATGTGGGTGTCGTTTAACATTTGAAGGTCACAATAGTGACAACACTTTATGTTTTATCAGGATTGGTCTGAAATTAATCATTCACGATTATTTCTCTCTTTGGTCTCTTGGTATAATATTCATAGATACTCATAAGATTTGATTTTTTTGTGGAAGTGTTGTATTCTATATTTGTATAGTCTAGGTTCATCAACTATGGTCTAAACTCTAACTTAACGGATGTTATTGACCCGAGTCAACAGCCACGGCCGATTTATTTCCGTGACTCACCTCCCAGCCGCTTGCAATTGAAGGAATCGATCACTGTTATCGATCATCTGGCTGATCACTTAAGAGTTTATTTATGAAACTTGGTACTTTAGTTCAATAACAATAAACTGCTGCAGATATAATCAATCAAATTACTGTTTAAACGTCTGGAAGTTAGAGCCATAGAACAGCCGTGTACACTTTTGCAATTTGACAGGAGTTATATATCTTTGTTTTATATTTTCGTTATATACTTAAAAACAATATCCCCAAAACAAAAGGTATTCAATAAGTTTTAGTTCATTAAAATCATGTTACATTTGCCTTCGTTAATGTTGCAGTATGGAGAACAATTCTCTCCGCGCTTTTGGATATATCATGGCTTATCAGTAGTGGAAGCATAGACTGAAATTAAATTTCTTCATGACGAATTTAAAAAGTTATTGTGTTTTCTAAGGGATATGGTGTTAATGCGATCACGTAAAAAGGTGATACGATATTATAAAGGGGTTGAAAATATAAAAATAAATTAAGCTCCAAAATACTTTAATTTTAATTATAGTAAAATATTACTTACTTTTGAACATTTAAAAACATATCTCTCAGCACTTGAAATTCACTTTGAATTTGAGTTATAGAGACAAAACATAAAAACATATCAGCAAAAAACTTTTCACTTAAAAACGTAGTCAAGACCACTTGAAGAACAAAAATTATAAAAAATGTGACTGTCCCTATTAATTTGGCAACCCACTGATCATCCCTTAATCAACCCAATTTTCGTAAATTTAATTAAGCTACTTGGTAAAGGTCATCATCATTAGCCCCCTTTCTTTGTTAGTCGGGTTAAAAGACTATCAGTGAACATCAAAGTAACCTTGTGATCTAATTACGATGCCGCGATCTGCAGATAACCCCATCGAGTTATCGATATTACAATGTCGAGTATCGATTGTCGCGTTGTCCGCTCCGTCTAAATGCGATGGTGTCAGCAGCGGGTCAGATGACGTGTGTAGAAAGGTGGGCCCTCGTGGCGGTGCGGGCCATGTGCGCGGTGCCTCTCGTCCGCGACTCGTTCACTCCGCCGTCATGGCGCGCCCCAAGCAGTCGCCGCGTCACGCCGCTCAATATGAGCAACTCCCGCCCCGCGGTCCAGGTATCAATAATCTACCATCACCTCGAACGAATAGGGCTCGAATTCCAATATCATATTTTGGTCCCGTGAGATCCGGGATTGCGTAGTGCGTGCAAACTTTATCGATATCCCGTGAAGACGTGGACGGAAGCTCGACTGTTCGCTAACGTGGACACAATGGAACATATTGCCCGTTATAACAGAAAAAGTTTGTCCGCTAAAGTTATGTGAGAATTTCATACTTTTAATTGGTTTTTTGTGTGTGAATCCTGTGTGTGAACCATCTTCGTAGATTCTTATAAAGATACCTACTTTTTCGTGTCAAATGCTGCCGTCTAGAACGGTTTCTATGCGTTTGTTCTTTTCAATCTATTTTTATTGTGGTAACTGTATACCAAAAAAGAGCTTGTGTTTAACACCGTAAAAAAGTTATTTGCATAGAGTCGAGACCATGGACCTCTAGGTAACCGTTGTACAGTCAGCTTCATATAAATTGGAACGTCAACACTGTAGAAAATACAAATTCAATATTACACACTATCATGGTAAAGTCGCTAATGATATTAAATGTTTAAATATATATCGAATGTGTGTATATAAAATAAATTTAATGCTAATAAAACAATGAAATTTTGCTGCCAAACGCATTTAATACATAACCTAATATGAAGCGGACTGTACAAGCCGGTTATAATACAAATATAGTAGAACGGACAGAATTAACGGGGTTTGTATTGGTAATGTACATTATATTACCGGGAACATAACAAGATCATGACGTCCTTATCTTACATTACAGGTTAGACAAGATGAGCAATGATCATTGTTGTGAGATAGCTTGAACTGTATCGTTGCGTGTTGCAGTGGAATCTCTGATCTACTGGCGATCGCCAGCGCGGTCGGGCGCGGCGCTGGGCGCTGGTCTAGCGCTGCTGGTGGCTCTAGCATGCTGCTCCGTGGTGTCGGTGCTGGCGTACGCCTCGCTGCTCGCACTCTCCGCTGCCGTCGCTTTCCGCATATACAAGAACGTGCTTCAAGCAGTACAAAAGACCAACGAGGGACATCCATTCAAGTGAGTACAATATTTTTTTATTTAAACTTAAACTTTAATGCACAAATATAACAATACATATAACGAACTTAACACCTAAGGGCGTTATCTACCAGTCAATCATAAGGAAATTAGTAAGCGGAGCATTATATTTACTTCTTATTAACATTATTGGTCCATATTATATATACCTGAAGGACTACCATAACATGTGTATATTTACATAGTATAAAACAAAGTCACCGCCGATGTGAGTTCCTTATATCTTTCAAATTAGGCAACGGAATTTAATGCAGTTTTCAGCAATAGATACATATATTACTTCAAGAGGAAGATGTTTTTAATACATGCGTGTTATAGTGTAGAATAAGCCGAGAAATTAAAAGATTATATAATAATATATAAAACTATATATTACTCGACTACGGCCAAGCAAAAAGGAAAGTTACGATTTTGAATGTATGCGTATTCGTTTGTTCATGTAAAATGGAATAAGAATATTCTATCTTCACGCCAGATCCCTAACAGTATAGATAGTATAGTTTGGATATGATGTAGCCGTATACCTATTGCGAAAGTTTCAACTGTTTGAGAAATTAACATAAATTTCTTTATATAAGTTTTCAACATCTTTAAATCACCTTTACATATCGCATTGATGAGTATAAAATAGGTACCAGTAAGATAGGTGAATATAATATAAAATAGGTATGTATAAAATAGGCGTTGCGTAAAATAGGTTTTTTTCGTAAATATTCTACCATCTAATAATTCGTCCGTTTTAAGCGAATGCTGTTCCTTCTTTCAAGCTATATTCTTCATGTGAATGTAAGTGACGGCACATTGTTATAATTATTATGATTATGTAGGTATTTGGTTTTATTAATGAGGTTAATAGATAAGAAATACGATATATGTAATTAATTTGAAATCCTAAACCAACCTCCTCTGCGATCTATTTCTTATGAATAATCATATTTAGTATTTGATTGTGCAATTTCAAAGAGACCGTTTGAACGAGTTTTATGTTGCTTATAATAAAAATGTCTTTATTATAATGTACAGCTATACATACATATACATGATCTGTGGTAAAGATTATACGAAGTCAAAAGCAAACTAGTCAAACTCCTCAAACTACTCAAATTTGAATTCAAAAATAATTGATTAATTTAGGATTTTAGACGCATATGAAAGTCTAGTCTTTTTTGTACATGTTTATTACTTTTTTCCATACTCATGAAACACAAACTTTCACCAAGAAATAAATTGGAAATTGAATCATACTAAAGAGATCACAATATCTCGCAATGAGCGTTTTAAAAATTGTTGAAAGTAGTCGTAATACCTACTTACGTTCTGCATAATCCAAAATACTATCAAATCAAATAACCTATGATAAATCATTCAAACTATAATACTTATCGAGCCAAGAAGAGCAAACATTAATTAAATTTTGCTCTCCTAATTTTTATTGCACATAATTATAAAATACAGATAAATACTATTTTAAAGTGAATTTAATGCGTATTTTTTTACCACGATCGTGGCATACAAGACGACCCATATGATGGTAAACGGTTACTATTAGTATACTACTTAGTTAAACTCATACGAAGTAGATATATTATTATCTAAAATCGTAAAAGTAGTCACAGATAACAAATCTCCAACGATATGAAAATACGTGCAAATACCATTTACGTAGTATGTAAAAAGTATCTTATTCAGAAGAACGTGATAAATTTAAATGCTATATATTTTATAATGTGTTTTTTAGAACTGACCAACTATTAATCCGGTTTTCGGCTAGCGAGTTTCTCCAAATCTTGATTTAGTTAAGTATCAAAATTTATTCATGAAATTGTAAAAAAAAACGTATTAATTACAACACATTTGGTGTAAAGTCATATTTTGTGAACAAGTGAAATGAGTTTCTGTTATTATTAATTAGAACAACATGCAGTGGTCTGCCTGATCTCAAAATCAAACATTCTAATGGTAGCGGAATTAAATAAAATTATATATATATATCCATTCAGTAATGAAATGGACTTACACAAATACTTAATACGATAAAATATATATTCAACTTTAATTTAAAAATATTAAAGTTTGATTTACCATTAATTCCATTTTATGAGTTATTAATGCGATATGTACGGTCTTAAGTTCGTCACATTGTCACAAAGGCCCTAAGTTCGTCACAAAGTCACAAGTGCTGTCATCCACCTGTGTTTGAACAGGCGTTGCTTGAATGTTAACTAAAATGCTCCGTTTGTTTCAAATATGAATAAGTATCAAATTAAACATTGCTAGCACACGTGGAGTTATACAGCGTGTCCAGTTTTTATACTGACTCCGTCTGTAATGTATATTGCCGTATTACAAATTACTCGAAGAAAACATTAACATCAGCAGTTTGTTTTTATTTCCTAGATATATTTATTCATGTAGGTTATTACATATTCATGTACCTAGGATAAATTATAAAACTTCCATCAGTTTGGAAAGTTTGAATCTAAAGTAATCAATACGTTTAGGTTATTACTATTGCCAGTACTTTTAATAAATTGGGCTGTTTGCCAATATAATAATATATATATATATAATGCAATTAAATACTACTCGGTCGATCAGGCCCGCATAAATTAAAAGTTAGTTTTTGATATAAACACAAACTATGCATCTACTTTTTAGTGTTGCCTGTTTCATACATATAGCCACGTACTTTAGAAGAAAAAATCTGTTGTATGAATTAATGTAAGCACTATTTGTAGAATAATGAAAATTTCAACATTGTGGGTTGTTTAGATTCAACATTTCTAAATGTAACTTGCTTATATCTAATTTAGGCTTTGTTCTCATAAGGCCAGAGTCAAATTTTAAACGTGATCAGGGTGATTATTGATGTGATGATGATGATCGAGATGTGTTTCGGTGAATTTACAGATGGCTGTTAGAACAGGACATCAGCGTACCAGCCGAGCGTGCACAGTCCCTCGCCGCCGCAGCCACTGCGCACCTCAATGCAGCCGCTAGTGAACTGCGCAGGTATAATCAGTTTGTCATATTTATCATATATGTAGCAAAAAAAGAAAATGATTTTTATCTAAAGTCATAAAAACATTTCAAATATAGAATACAATTGAAATATAGAACATTATGCTATATGTATCAGAATATGATTGGACAGTTCTCTTTATGATATTATGTTTTTATTAGTCACGTCCATTTCGTTAAATTAATATTAGTGACCTAATTTGCAAAATCTGTTACGGTTTCTTGTTTATGTAATTACAAAGTCATGACACCTTAAAGCTCAGAAATGGTAAACCAAGTAGGTGATGTCTATGGTTTTGTTCTCGTCTATAGGCAACGGATAACATTTGTTATCATTACACTCTCAATTTTATAAGAAGATTTTAATTCTTTTTTTTTTCAATTTAATGCCAAACCTAATTAAATCTCAATGTTCTGTTTGTTTATATATTTTGGCAGATCAACGCCTATAGTCGGCTGATTCACTTCTTTGCAATTTGCAGAAGTATTCAGTATGAATCCAAGTACATTCCATTGAACCAGGTCACATGTTGATGACGGCCTTTTCCTTTTTTTTTATTTAAGTATTTTATTTCGAATTTAATGCATTGTTTTATTTCCGTTTATATGATATAATAATATATATGCTGCTTCCAGCATCGTCATTTTTGTGTTGTGATGTGTGATTTAATAAATGTTATTCTATTATTAGCATTATACAGAAAAAAGAAAAATTACACTTAAACATTTATCAATATAAGTATTATAACCAACCTATAAAATAGTAACCTAAAAAATAATAAGCAACCTTTCTCACCGACCATTCCTCAAGTACATGACCAATCGGATATTTTTGAGTAGTAAACGATGTAGACCCGAAGGTCGACTTTCGATGAAATTTTGGCCACTATCAGTCAAGCCGTTTCGGAGGAGTATCATTGCAAATCTGATCTCTAAGATCGCTCCTCACTTCGCGCTCCGCTCAATAATACTAAAGTATATAACCTGTTTCATTGCAGGCTATTCCTAGTGGAAGACCTGGTAGACTCGCTCAAGTTCGGCGTGCTGCTGTGGTGCCTCACGTACGTGGGCGCCTGCTTCAATGGCATCACGCTCATCATTCTAGGTGAGTATAACTATGATCGGTTAACTTTGGGTTGCCAATTTAAAAAAGACGGCGTCGGTGGATAAGTGGTTAGCACACCGCGTTATTTCCGATGGACGGGATGAGATTCCTCCCACGAATAAACTTTTGTCTTCACGAGTATGGTTGTTTGTATCGGTTTAGGTGTTTTCTTTGTATATTATTTATGTATTTATATATAAAGTATTTATATCAGTTGTCTAGTACCCATAACACAAGCTCTGCTTACCGTGGGACTAGATGGCGCTATGTTAATTGTCCGGGATTATTTATTATTATGAATGTATTGTATGTACTATGTAAATTATGTATGTATATATGTACTATATCTGACATTGCCCTGATCGGTGTTGTAGCATGCAACAGGAAATTGGGCCCAGCGGGGTGCATTGCCACAGTGGTTCCGATTGGCCATCTGTGTGCCTCTTCTTTTGTACCACGATGAAGCCATCATAGTTACCAGAGGCAGCACAAATAGGGCTAATGTTCAGTGCCGTTTTAGGCATTCGTCGCTGTACTGAAGCAGTTGGTTTACTAGCGACGATGGTAGCTAAATGTCGTCGCTGTAGTTGCACGGAGGATTTTTTTTTACTTATGGTTGCTGTTTCATTCGCAGGTTGGATAGCGTTGTTCACGCTGCCTAAGGCATACGAGATGAACAAGGCGCAAGTGGACGCCAACCTCGAGCTAGCGCGCGGCAAGATCAACGAGATCTCCGCCAAGTGAGTCCTTACTAATATTATAAATAAAACACTAAACAAACATCCCGGATGTTTGTTACGTTTTCACGCAAAAACTACTGAACCAATTGCCATGAAATTTTGTAAACATGTTCTTGGAGGTATTAGAATGAACATAGGATAATTTTTTATTAAAAAAAAATTTTTTTTTATTAATAATCAATTATCAATCATTTTTCTACAACAGCGCCATTTAGCAGCCTAGCCCAGCCCAGCCCCTTTTAAGTTATACGTGCGAAGCCGCGGGTAAAAACGAGTAAAGAAAATACTAATTGTTTAAGCGTCTGTCTCGTACTTGTATGCTCCTGATAGGGTTTCTTGGGCTCTTTAACACGTACCACCGTCAAGATGAGGTTTTCACTTACTTTCACTCACTTTTATCTGATTCTAAACATGCTGTAAGTAGCAGAATTAAACAATAATATAAATCCATTTTTAGTTATGAAATGTACTTACACAAACACCTAATATGATAAAAGGTTAATGCTAAACAGCCTTAACAAAAAAATAACAGTTTTGCAGTCAGTTTGTAAGTCAGCTTCTGGAGTCTGAACAAGTTCGCAGGTTTCGACCTAGTTCAGACTCCAGACTCTCATAAGGAATAACTTGTACGTTTAAATATAATTTACTTACGTTGTATTCCTTGGGAGCAGTAAAATTAATATTATTATTATTTTACCATATTGGCCACTTGGCTACGATATGTTGTTGTAACTATGATGTTTAGTTACATATGAATTATATTATAGTACTGGTTCGCGATATGCCGTACTTATGTTATTTATTTCTCTGTATTTCTTGGTTGTGCAAATATTGGAGATAATTTATTCATCACGAGTGAGACATATGCCACTTTCACTGATACAAACGTGTTTTTATAACGCAAGTGAAAGTCGTCCAGCTCCATAACCTACATACATGTCATCTCTTAAACAATAAACAACGCTAAATACAGGCCTTTAAAATTGCAAATTGTTTATCCCATGAATTTCAGATATACATTCAGCGTTCCTTTCGAGGGTCTTGATGATAGTCTTGTTTTTTTTTTCGTAAAGCAATAAGAAAATAAGGAGTTTTTTATCTTCTGAGTTTTCTAGAAATAAGTAGAGCAATTAAGTACAGCAGAATGGAGAAATAGTTGTTTTTGATGTTTTTACTGTACTCTTTCTAAACTATGAAACATATGGTTACATATACATAATTTCTTCCGGAATATTTATATATATTATACACATAATATACTTATACATATATCATTCATAATACACCGCCCACATGAATCTCTGTTTGCCCAATGGTTGACTGGGAGAAAATGCCTCTAGGTGTTAAGTCCGCCATGTGCACCTTTATTTGTGTATCTGTGCATTAAAGTTTTAATAAATAAATAAATAAATAATTATTTATGCCTATAGTTATACGATCTTCTTCCAATATAAGGTCGATAGCATAGAAGAAACTTTTATTCCATTACTTATATATTTACTTTATTATTGTCCATAAATTACCCCATTTTGTAGTATTTAGAATATCATACTTATACATACATATATTATATGTATATATTGTTATTATACACATTACTATCATGTTTTAAAGTGTTCCGTGTCTTGTTTATACAGGGTGCGAGCAGCTGTGCCATTGGGCAGGAAGTCAGAGAGCGAAAAGGACAAGTAAGCGCCAAAGTGCGGGCGAGCGACGCGACATCGCGGGACGTTGCGACGTGACGTCACGCGACGCTGCGACGTGACGTCACGCGACGCTGCGCCGTGACGTCACACGACGATGCCACGTGACGCGCGCCGCCGGGCGGCCGCGGGCTGCGAACACGCTGCAGACAAACACAGTTCTTTAATTAGCGCCGGAGTACTTCACTCACTGTTTGTTATATTTATTAATTATTATTGTACTATTAAATAAAGACTACTTTATGTGTAAAGCTTTATGAGACGAGTCATGCGGAGATTATTGTATTACATTTGCTTTTTGAAATTTTAAATTAAAATAACTGTCGAACCAAATACAGGGTTTTATTTCAGCGCTTATATTTAGCGCATGGTTAGCGGGCATGGTTTACCACCATATACTGCTAAATATATCAATGTTATTATGTATTTATTGCTATATATTCGATTTAAAAGTTATAACTATAGTATACAGTTAATATAATTTTTCAACCAATCATTATTTTGTTGTAAACGAGGTCTTACATATACGGCCTATATAACATTGCGTATATTAAAATCATATTAAACATAACAGTTATCGAATAAAAATAAGGAAGTAGTAATTACAGTTAATATATGTAGTTACTAAAATCAAAGTTAGAAATAAAATAAGATTATATACTATATTGACGTCGTAGAGTTATTATGTATGATAATGGAATGCTGCACCTGCCTGCGCTAACGGTTTACGCTGGCGGGGCACCAGTGGAAGATGATAAGATGAGCATGAGGTCAGGTCAGTTAGCCCATCGTGACAAATTCACCAGGAATTTATCACGATGGTTTCCAGGGGGAATCACGTGGAGGTCAACCAGATATGGTACATTGCTGGCAATAAGAACATAGGGTACTGGCACCAGTAGTCAGCCTTTTAGTGGTAAGTCTGGGTTCAAACTTATATAAGAAAATATTAGAAAGAGTAAATTGAAAGTCTTTTGTATAATTTAACTTACTCATTTATTAAACTTTGTTACAAAATTAACAAAAATTACAAATTTATCCTTTAATAAAGTGAAAAATACTTTTTAACAAAATAAGGCACTTTTCACCAGTGCTCAGCCGCCAAAAACTAGTACTCAGCCATATTGCCACCAGTGGTCAGCCTCTCTTAAGATCAATAGTTTCAAGCTTAAAGATTAAGAACATTAATAAACAATTAGTCCGGTCATAGAACCTAAAAGGACTTAACTGTGCCCTAACAATCACAACAATCAAATACCTATCTAACTTATATTTAAATCAGTCGGAAACTTCTTTAGTAACATCAGTATTTAAAAAGATTTCAAGTTCTTCTTCTTCTTTCTAAAAGTCGCCGATTAACAATTTTTTTAGGAGCTTATCTTCCTTACAGGTTTCTGTGTCAGGAGTTTCAGGATATAGAAGTATATTACTGAGAATTTTATTTTGTTTTGATGTCCACTAAATCACAGCCTGTCTTTGTGCATTTTACGCTCAATTCCTTATCATAATCATAATTTTTCTTCTTTGTAGTCTCCTTCACTTTACTTTTGGTAGAATCTAGAGCTGCTTTTTTTCTTTTTTTTGTATAAAAAACTATATAAAAAACAATTTAAATATGGACGGTTGAACACTGGATCTACTGTCACCAGTACTCAGCCATGTAACAAACTCTAACTATTTAAGTGGCCGACTATTGGGTTTTTGACAAACAGCGTTAAAACTAGTAGTCAGCCAGGGGTGGTTGAGTACTGGATAATGTATATAAAAATGGTACCCAGTAGTCGGCCACTTCATTATTTAATAATTCTTAAGAAAAACATGATACTTTTCATTGATTACAATGCCAAAAGTCTTAATTAATGTAAATTTTAATACAAAGTGGCCTAAAATTAACAAAATAATGAAATAAATTACTATATCTGTGAACGCTTCTCACTAATAAAAAAATGGCGCGCACGCCGCATGTCGCCTCGTCAGCCGATGACGTCGAAATAGATTCATATTTAATGTACTTCGCAGCCACGTAGCTACTATGTTTGGATTTAATTCTAGCAATGAGAAGTCATAGAAGCTATTTAAAATAATTTGATTAGTTATTTTCTGTTATAGCGCTATTCCTATTGGTTTTAAACCGAAAAAGGCTGAGTACTGGTGCGGGGCCGACTACTAGTGCCAGTACCCTAAGTCCATATTACCACAGATAACATAATATTACTAACAATTCCCTTTCCCCCCTGACGTAGAGTATCATGAGTGGTCATGCTCAAGTGTCCAGAAATAAGGCGGCGTTGTGGGCAGAGTCATCGATATCATTTGGTCAAAGTCAAACATTGTCAACCGCATTGATGGCTGGAATATTCGTCATACTTGTGAATTATGCAGTGCTGTTTGAGAGGTATTGGTCTGCTCTAATTATTACGAGTCATCTATTTATTTACAAAGCCAATTGTACAAATGAATTTGTACTATTGGATAGTTTGTATTCACACATACGAATATAACTTAAAAAGTTACATTTGTTTTAAAGAGCAACATACAAATTATGTGCGTGTTCTTCTTGTACTGTCTGTCTGTCTGCTATTCGATTAGTGCTTTAAGCCTTTTTAAATAAAGGTATTTTTATTTTAATCTACCTACTCATTATTTTTATTTTACTAAAAAAAGTAAGGCAAGTCCATACAGTTGACATTAAAAAAATAAGGTGATATATTTAGGGCTCAACAAACTAGAACAATTATGACCTAAAATAATGACTGTCATTTCATCAAAAAAATAATGAATACTTTCGAATACTCCATTTATCGTTACTTTTATAGCCATATATATGAATATCTGTTTTGGTTATTTGCTCTGAGATCTAGAAATTGTGGCGCGCTACGTTTTTGTATTCTTAACAGAGTAAGGAAATCTTAAATAATAACTAGGCTGTGTATATGTAATAATAATGTATGTATACTCTAAACACCAGTGCTGTTCTATCTTTGTAAAAGTATGGATGTCCGAAACAAGTAAATATAAATATATTTTTCATCTAATAAATCTTGCAATACATGCTATCGATTATAGTATATGATGATTATAAGTATTGTGATGAATAGTAATTGATACCTGATGGTAAATATCGAACATCACTTTTTTTTTTTTTTTGGTTCTGTTTTTCCCTTTTTAGGGAAAGGCAAAAGGACTCAGCCCATACAGCCATTGTCTTCAGTAATATTTTCGTATTTTTTTTTTTTTTTTCTAATACTTGTCTTCAGTAGTTACAAATCTTGAAATGTTGATATAACGTACTCGAAAATGGGTTTGTATGTTTCTGTGTTCTTTAAGAAATTCTGGATGGAGCGCGGGATCTCCATTTTATCATATATATTGATCAATTTATCAATAAATATTAATCGCTGGATTGCGAAATGTTGACATTCAAAAAACAAGTGATCTAATGATTGATCTTCGTCGGCAGAACAATAATCACATATAGGAGACGAAACCATTTTCATCCTATGCAAATGCTTTTTATATCTTCCATGTCCAATTCTAAGACGACATAAAATTGAATAAAATTTTCTTTCCACATATTTTCCTTGAACGAACCATGGCGTTTTAAATTCTTGCTGTATTTCTCTGAACCATTTCCCTTTAACTTTTATGGATTCTTCCCACTGTTGTTTCCATTTAGTTTTAATTGTTTTTCTTATTTCAACGATAAAATCTGAAGCTGGGATTAACATGTATTTTTCTTTTCCTTGAATTTGACAGTTTGTGATGAACCTAGCCAGTTCATCAGCTTTTTCGTTGCCAGTGACATCAACGTGAGCTGGAGTCCAGATAAGATTAATATCCATATTAAGCCGTTTTTTAAAATCATATATTTTCCTTTGAATATTTTGTATAACGAAAGATGTTTTACTAGAAGAAACATTCGCAAGGGCCAACAAGACACTCATGCTGTCCGTTAATATGACCCATTTATCATTATTGTTCGTTTCACCAATATAGTCTAGCGCTGAGATAATAGCGTAAGCTTCAGCAGTAAATATGCTCGATTTATTCGATATTTTTGTACCGAATGATATTTTTTCCTTGGCATCATAAACAGCAATAGCCGTGCAGTCTTTATTTTTAGCACCATCCGTATACATATGCCTATAATTGTTCCATTGAGATATGTAATCATAGACATCATATTTATTATGTAAATTCTTATTTATAAAAATGGGGGTTTTAAAAAAATTACAATCATATGAATTGCTATTGTGAACTAATTTCTGATTAATAAATATGTTGGAGTTATGTAGACTTTTAATAATTTCAGTTATATTATTAGAGAGGAAATTATTAGGAGAGGATGGATTTTTTAATTTATGTAATAATTGGTTATCATGAACAGAATAAAGTTTCAGTAAAAACATAAGTTTTAGCAATTCAAAACGTAACGGCAATGGGGGCATATTACATTCAACTTGCAACGAATTTATTGGTGATGTGCTCATGGCTCCCAAAATTAATCTTAAATTTATATTTTGGAGTTTTTCTAATTTATCAACATATTTTTCTTTGTTACAAAAACAGAAGAACGCATATTCAAAATGCGTTCGAACCAGCGACTTGTAAAGAATTAACAGAATTTTAGGGTCTGCTCCCCAAGTAGTGCCGACCAAAGATCTGAGAATATTAGTGGACATCATGGCTCTATCTGATACACAATCGACATATTTTTTAAAACTTAAATTATTTTGAAATATTACACCTAAAAATTTTGCTTCTGGCTCTACTGGAATAATAGCGCTCATATATTTCACCTGACTAGATGAGTCTATATTTAAATTGTTATTACTAAACACTACCATTTTGCTTTTAGAAGGACTGATTTCCAAATTTACATAAGAAAAATATACTGAAAGATTACTAAGAGCAATATTGATTTTGGATAATGTATCCACAATATTGTCACCATAACAATATACAGCTAAGTCGTCAGCAAATTGGAGATTATGGACATAAGGCCCTAAAGCATCATTAATTCTATGAACATAAATAATATATAATAAAGGACTGAGTATACCACCTTGTGATACTCCTACATGAGATAAGCGAGGACCTATACATGAAACATTACTAACTTTAACGTATAATTTTCGACCATTCATAAAATTATATAACCATATTGCTAGTTTATTTGAAACTCCGACAGAAATTAAGATATCTGCCAAAATCTTCGGATTTACATTATTGAATGCACCCACTATATCCAGAAAAATTGCTACCAAATGTTGATTATTTTCTAAAGCTTTCTTAATATCGATATAAAAATGCCCTAAGCTTTCCCGAGCTGAAAATCCTCGTCTGAATCCAAATTGATTCGACGGCAATAGATTTTGAGACTCGAAATAAAACTCTAGTCTTTGTTTAAGCAATTGTTCAAAAACTTTTCCTATACACGATGTTAATGTAATGGGCCGATAAGAATCAGCAACATATAAATTTTTATTAGGCTTTAACACAGGAATAAGATAATCTGTTTTCCATTCTTTTGGAATTATAGAGTTATACCATAATAAATTTATAATAATTAAGAAGGTATTTAAATTGTTACCATTTAATGCTTTCAACATTTTGTATGAAATATTATCCAACCCAACTGCTGTGTCCCTTCTTGATTTTAATGCTGATTGAAGCTCTGCTAATTTGAAAGGTTTATCAAAGAAAATATCGTTAGCTTTATCAGAATTGTTAGGAACTGTTGTAAAAGGGCTCGCAACGTAATCTGGAGTATATTTGTGTAAAAATTCATTTAACCACATATCATCGTTACCTGAGTTGTAAGTGCGAGGTTTATTTATATATTTCTTATTAAATTTTCGAACTTTTGTCCAAACATTAGATATAGAAGTGGTTCTGTTTAAATTAGAACAGTATTCATGCCAACTTTGTAAACGCACAGTTTTAATAGTAAGTTTTTTTTCCGCTTGCAATCTTTTAAACTTAATATAATTATCTGTGGTAGGATCATATTTAAAATCTATATATGCTTGTTTACTTTTACGAACAGCTGTTGCACAAGTGTCATTCCACCATGGTACTGGAGGATGCTTATATTTTGATAGTTTAGAATTGCTAGAAGAATTACAATTGTATTGTTTTGGATGTGCCGATGAACTCTTATTTAGAACAATATCAATAGAATTTAAAATAATATTACAAAAAGTGTCATATGTTGAACACGGATCATTGACAGAAAAGCCTTGTAATTTGGAATTAACAATTTTACTGTAATTGTCCCAGTTTACAAGTCGCAAGTTACGCCGATTTACTGGAACTGATACACAATTATTTGCTCCTTATAACCCTTTATTTTTAATTTATGATGTGGCCGAAGCCAAGTTTCACATAAAAGTGCAATATGTATGTTATTACTGTAAAGAAAATGTGTGAGTAAATGTTGATTGCTCAGCAGACTTTGAGCGTTCCACTGAGCTATATTTAAATTATTTAAGGTGAATTTTGAGAGCTAATGTTTTTGTTACTGAAATTTTCAGTAAGAATGTCTAATAAATTTTTTGTGCAAATTGAAGTATTTTGAGTTTTATTTAATGTAATCAATTTTACTATGGACTCTACTAAGAGACCAAGAGTGATGGGAAAGATTTAAATACATCTGCATATGAAGATGTTTGAGCTTTGTTTCTGTTTTCTATAATTTTTTTTTGTTTGATTGGACATTTGGAGGAAATACTAACATGATTACCATCGCAATGGAAACATTTGGCATTTTCTACTGGTGTATCGCATATTTTAAAATTATGACTTCCTTTGCATATGGAGCATGTCTCTGCATTTTTACAATATTTAGCTAGATGTCCATACCTCAAACAACGGAAGCATTGCTTCACAGGAGCGATGTATGGTGATATATCGTGTCGCCATCCTTCAAGGTCCACATAATCTGGAAGAACTGAAGCTGCAAAAGTGATTGCTATGGTCTGAGTTGGCTGTAGAAAAAAGTTAGTATCATTTTTAACTTTACGTAGAAACCGCCGAACACATATAATTTTTTTATAACTTGATATCATGGTATATATCTTCTTATTGGATAGGTTTAATGAGACATTCCTAATGACTCCTGTAACTTCTGTGGATCCAGCTGGTATACTCGCTTTAAATTGGTATTCTTTAAGAAAGGTAAAATTATTTAGGAAAGCATTTGCAAGGCCAGGTTTCTCAAAATATACTCCTATTTTATACTTATTTAAGCTTCTGAGATACTTGACTCCTTTATTAAACCTTTTTAAACAAGATGAAAGAGATAGAAGGTCTCTAGAGCCTATTATAGTTTTAGGATCACTAGACTCAACGAATACAACGAATTCAGTTGCACCGGAATCCTCTGGATAACGTCTATGATAATCCGTGACAAAATAAGTTTTATACAGTTCTTTCTGATCTAATTCCACTTCGTCAGATTCGGATGAAGTTGAAGATTTGCAGTCACTATCTGGATCATCTGGAGATACAGGCTTTTTACGCTTTCTTCTACTCTTCCCCATATTGTGGGTTATTTATTTTATTTTAACCACGTTCCCGCGCTTTTTTTTTTTTATCGAACATCACTATTGAAAAAAGAAATAATATTGTCATTTTTTTTTTTTTTTGGTTCTGTTTTTCCCTTTTTAGGAAAGGCTAATATTGTCATTGTCAGATTAGACATTGTGATAAATATTTTGACATTGACAGTGACATTATGACAACTTGATCATCTGAAAATCTGCCTGAAAATTTGATGTGATGAATTTCAGTGAACATTGCATGAAAATTGCTTTTTCAATTTGTGACTGTAATTTGAATTGAAATGACGAAATATTGAATTCAGATAATTAGTACAATATTAAAAAAATGTTGCGATGGATTGAAGATATCAAAAGTTAATGAGTATCATAAAGATGAGAAATCTCTTCATAATACATTTCAGAAGTTGTTAAACTTTTAAGTATTTATACTACTATTTGTATTGTTCAATTAAATTACAGTTAATTAACATAAGTACCTATTTTAAAGTACTAAATTTAACTATTTTCATTTTATTATAAAGTGATGTAATACGCTCGGCAGTCGATAGTTTTCAACAAAACTTTGCACTTTGAAGTTCGGTTGCACGTGAGCTGATGCTTAAAGAAGGCAATTGTACTTATTATATTCACGACAGAGATCTGTAATGGACCGTATAAGGTAAGGCATGTTTTCTATACATTTCTAAAACAAAATCGTTAATGTTCACTATTTGTCTTATCTATACTATTTAATGTTACACCAACTTTTATCTATATTGCAGCATGACAATAGTTTAGCTTATTTGTGATTTCCAGCTCATCAATGTACCTATTAATTTTATTTTTTCATTAATTCATTTCATAACATCACTTTACATAGTTCACTCATTGTGTTGTAGCATAATGCAAGGCACACTCTATTGTTACTCATATTACTGTAAAAGAATTAAGTATTCATTAAAAGGCAATTTTAGAATCATATCTTACTTTTATTCATGACTTCGTCTGTGCTTTTTTAAGATAAAAGATATCCTATCTTCTTGTACCTTCTATTGTCATGTTGAATGTTATTAAGTTCAATTTAGCTGTTTAAAGAGACAGACTGACATATTTAATATTTATATTTTTAGTGTGGACATTTTGCTAACACTTAGTAACTATGACTAGTGAAATCTAATTGAAAGGTTGAGAGAGGTAATTATTTTATTTACTATAAAATGGTTTGTGTTAATACTCCATTTATTATAGTAATAACAATTAATTATTTTGGTTGACACAGTGATTTTAGTAGGTATAATATTTACACAACTATTATTACCAGCATAGGCTCAATATAATTGTGTATGTAATATTACAACACTGTTACAACCTGAGTAGTGTATTTTTATCAGGAATTGACCTACAAAGCATTATCATTAATGTATGGAGGCTTGTATAGCTGTATTATATCATTTTCATATTCATTTATATAATTTTCTATCTGCCTTTATGTCTTGCTCATTAGTGGATAATCTAACTTTGATCCCTCATCCGTCATACTTGTGAACTAGTGATGCTTCTAGGAAAGGTCTGCTCTAATCAGTATGACTGATTTAATCTTATTTATTTACTTAACCAGTTAATTGTGTATTTAATATTTTGACTCTATTGAATTAGCGTTAGTTGGTATTTTGTATTCACTTGTATTCACATTTCGGCTTAAAAATGTAAAGATATAACTAATATTTAAAAGAGTAATAAGTAAGTTTCATGCTTGTTCTTATGTTGAGATAGATTAATAAATGAGCAGTAGATTAAAACAAAAATATGTGTATTCAAAAGTGCTTAAATGTAAGTTTATAAGTTTATTAATCAATGTCATACCCTGCAGCTGTCCAGTGTACATAGCAGTTGTATATTTATCTGCTATGTGGTAGACTGTACTATTGTCACATTGTGTCATTTCAATCAACATTCATTGTTTTACAATTGTTTTCAATTTAACTCAAGGCTAATTAGAATTGGCTCATGTTTTCTAACTGTTAACTATTTGCAATGACTACAAATTAGCATAAAAAGTGAAGTGTGCTGTATTCTTGTGCAAATATAATTCAAACCTATTCAGTAATTTTAGTGTGATTAAAAAACATAAGTTTCAGGCATTCACGTTTATAATTTTAATAGCTAGCGAGGTTTTAGTTACTAAGACCACAGATAACATAATATTACATACAGATACCCCATCCCATACAAGAAAATGGTTCCTTCCTAACTCGGGCTATTCTTCGGGCTATTTTATTTCGCCACCGTAGCCGCTAGATGTCGCTAGATCTGAAGCAGTTCGGATTACTAGTGGGTGCTTAGTAACAAAGCATGAAAATAGATGGCAGTGAATTCAGTCTACATGACATCTGTTTTGCAAAGATATTTATATAATAGATATGTAGGTAACTGTATCGTGTACCTTAGGGACGATTCAAGATTCAATGTAAATGTGTAGGTATAATATCGTTAGCCGACACTCTGCAGATATGGCTTATGTGCCAATGTTTTGTGTTATGGTTTATTTTACATTCCATGCCTATTTTTTTGATATGTTGTTCTGCGCTATACGTATAGCCTGATTTTGATACGTTTATACTCGTACGTATCAAAATCGGGCTATACGATTTTTTATTTCAATCGTTATATGTATGAGACTGATTTTAGCTACAATTAATTTACTGGTATATACCTCATGTATTCTACGATGTACCCCTCTTTTACCTAAAGAGAATTCCGCTATATCTTATATATAAATTTTGTATCACAGTGTTAGTTGCCATATTTCTCCCACATTTTGATGAAATTTGATATGTATACTTCCCAGGTCTGAGGTAGGGTTGTTATCTATTTTTTATACCCCTAAGTCATAGGGGTGGCCTACCCCGAAAAAATATTTTTTTGTATTATGGACAATTTTTTATGTATTTTCAATGTAACATTATTGTTACATTGAAAATACATACACGCCTAAATTTTCACCCGTCTTTCACCAACCCCTATTTTTAATAGCGATATTCTTACAAATATTATAAATGCTAAAGTAACTCAGTCTGTCTGTTTGTCTCGCTTTCACGCCAAAACTACTGAACTGATCTAATTTGAAATTTGGTAGACAGATAATGTAGACCCTGAGAAAGGCTACTTTTTAATGCGAAAAAGTATTGAAAGGGGAAATGAAAGGCTATATGAGGATATCGTAATTTTTAAAGTCAGATCTTGTAAGATTAAGTGAACAGGGTCGGTCTAGGTTTTTCATTATTAGAAATGTGTAACGGGGTAACACGTTATTTAGTGCGAAATTGTGTATATTACAATAAAATTTAACGAGAAAATATTATAATGATATCACTGGGACACTCATTGCCTTACTACTATATCGTCCGTTAGTCGCGAACTTTCTGGAAACACGAGAGGTGCGCTCCTATTGGTCGGTCGGCGCGGTTACCGCGCGTAGATGAGTAGATGAAGTCTCACGGCGCCGCAGCGTAAGTACTTACTATACATACGTAGTATACATATGGGTATTACAAATGTTTTTATTACTAGTAATATTACTCTGTTATCTAAGCAAGTAATGTGTGCTTATTTTGAACTTGATAACATTCTGAATTACTCGTATATCTTTCAATATCTTTAGCGGTATAAACCAGGTTATGTACTACTACTGGTATTGTTAGTGAGGGGAGTTGATGAACAAAAATAAAACAATATTCGTATTAAAAATATATTCATCTAATATTTTTGGCATTATTTTTAAGTTTCTTCCAAATATAAGGGGTCTGACATGGGGTGTTATGTACCTACATTAAAAAATACTTTTTGAAATGTATGAAAGAAACGTATTGTATGAAATTTTTGAAATGTGTGAAATGTATGCACCTACATTAAAAGATAATTTTTGAAATGTATGAAAGAAATGTATTGTATGAAATTTTTGAAATGTATGAAATGTAAGGACCTACATTAAAAGATAATTTTTGACATGTATGAAATGTATGAAAGAAATGTATGTACCTACATAAAAAGTTCATTTTTGAAATGTATGAAATGTATGAAAGAAATGTATTTACATTAAAATATAATTTTTGAAATGTATGAGATGTATGAAAACAATGTATGTACCTACATAAAAAGTTCATTTTTGAAATGTATGAAATGTATGAAAGAAATGTATGTACCTACATTAAAAGATAATTTTTGACATGTATGAAATGTATGAAAGAAATGTATTACCTACATTAAAAGATAATTTTTGACATGTATGAAATGTATGAAAGAAATGTATGTAACTACATTAAAATATAATTTTTGAAATGTATGAAAGTAATGTATGTACCTACATTAAAATTTAATTTTTGAAATGTATGAGATGTATGAAAGAAATGTATGTACCTACATAAAAAGTTCATTTTTGAAATGTATGAAATGTATGAAAGAAATGTATGTACATTAAAATATAATTTTTGAAATGTATGAGATGTATGAAATAAATGTATGTACCTACATTAAAAGATATTTTTGACATGTATGAAATGTATGAAAGAAATGTATGTACCTACATTAAAAGATAATTTTTGACATGTATGAAATGTATGAAAGAAATGTTTGTACCTACATTAAAATATAATTTTTGAAATGTATGCACCGTACAATAACAATACACGTTAAACATCATATACGCAAGTTAAAAACAAACTGCTATGATATTAATGAGAAAGGAAAATAAACTTTATGGTATTCGAGTTAGGGTCGATTTCTCTCTTTATTTTAAAACTATTTTAATCTTACCAGTTGCCAGTATTCGAAGACAGCTACGATTCGTACTCGATATTTTAAATTATTATGTAATCGATTTTTCAGTACAAATGTAAATAACCAACGACACCCTACTATATTCCGTTCTTTGAAACGGAATACTGCTATACTTAATACAAAATAATGAAAATTTACTGTTCACAACGACTCATTAAAAGCATCATCGAATAATGCGCTGTAATAAAATCCTGTTATCGATTATTAAAAAAAATCGATAATACATGTATTTATTTTTAATATGACAACACTTCATACATAAGTATTATTGGAAATAGTATTATTTGCTTGTTCGGCTATTTTTAATTTACTTAAACTTTTTTTATATGTTTAATTTACAATAATAATATATTAAGTGCTTATTATTGGAAAATATAAAAAAGACATTTAATTAGGCCGATACAAATGACAACAATGCCATCTATGAAAGCATTTTGAAAACATTGAGCCCCGTATTAGCACTGATTAAAGTGTAATTAAGTACTGGAAAATAACAAAATGAGTAAATATATGAAAATTACTTTTCTAAACGCATTATTTCATTTTAACATGTATATATATTTTTTTAAAAATGGATTAAACTATTTTGAAAACACAGTTTTGTTTTTTAAAACGTTTGCAAAACTATGAAGAATTCCATCGATACCAATCACGCCATCTATATGCAACTTTTAGCAATAATAATGGCTACTTCCTCATTGAGTGCCACTGCTAAGACCAAGAGTCATTTGATTAATAATTTTATCAAGTTATGTCTCACTTGATAAAATTATTAATCAAATAAAATAAAAAATAATAGATGTAGGATATTTTAGCCGCATATGAAAGTCAAATGTTTTCCTCTACTGTAAATTTACAGTTCATTTTTATTCTCGTAAATTAGAGTTACCAATTGTCTTATTTTCCCGGGATAGAGAGTTTTTGTAGTGTCCTGGGACGTTCTGAACAATTTTAAGCAGGGTCTTGGGGTTTTAAATTTACAATTTACACACGTCATTTGATAATTAGTTTTCAACACATCTATTCTTCAAATAATTTTATTAAAAAATACGATTATTTCAATTAAATTATTGTATTTTATTTAACCTATTATCACTACATATTAATATATCTATTGCAACTCTATTCCTGTTTTTTAAATAGAATTATCCTGGAATTTGAAATAATTTTAAAGGTGTTGGCCAGCCTATCGTAAATAAAATTGTAGTGTAATTTTTTTTATTTATTATATTATGAGATTTTTGGTTTAAGAGTTTTGCAATACAAACATACAGTAGCAGATTTATTAAATATAAAGTTAACAGATTATTCTAAATAAATATCTATTTAATCACAAAATATTTCCATTTACTGTTGCTGTGAATATTATTTAAATTTTAGGTTCGTTGAACTATAAACATGTCATTGACCCCACATAATGTATTTAAGCTTATCTAATCAGATAGTGCAACTGTATGCAGTGCAATAATATGTTAATAGAGTGTGATAATGTACTTATATCTATATATGGTGACGGTGTAAGGATTCCATTATGTCGTCATTTATTTTCATTCCAAGAGGCCTTTCATACGTAAGCAATTTTATTACAATTATCCCCCCCCCCCCCCCCTTATCAGCAAAAGTAAGGAAAACTCTTACCCCCTCCCCCCAAGCCTACTTAATATTTTTCAATTTATGTATTGTTTTTTTAGCAAAGACAATGTGAGGGGTGCTATTCGTGTAAAAGCACCCCTTAAAGTAAATAACTACCGATGACATAATCATCATCTAGACTCCCCTACCTCCCCAGTCATCGAAAATAAGCAAAGCAAAGACCCCCCCGCCCCTCTATAGGGCTTACGTAATACTTAAACGGCCCCTAAGTTACGTAACATGAATTTCATGAGTCACCCCACCTCAACCTCTTTCTTATCACAGCTACTCATTTTTGTGTATGATTTTCGCCTACAGTGCAAAGTTGTAAAATTGTACGTCACATATTTTGGACTAATAAACCAAGTGCGCACTCACCAACAATTTTAACCTTATGTTTATGCCGATAAAGTTAAAAATAAATTTCAAGATTTTCGTTAATAGTTCTAACATCTTTATTACATATATAATATTAAATTTAATATTAGATACTTAGTATTATACTACTACTAATATTATAAATGTGAAAGTGAGTGAGAATCAATCTACATATAGTTAGTTATTGATCTATAACCAAGAAACTAAATTATTAATAGAAAAAACAAGTTTTTAGGAACACTACATTATTGTATAACTAAACATCAAATTACTTATGTAACTGAAATTGAAATTATAATATGTGCAATAGAACCTTCAAAATTGATATTCATTTATAAAAAAACATCCGAATTGAGAACCTCCTAATTTTATGGAGTCGGTTATAAACTAGGTCGATTGGACATAATCAGTTAGTTAGCAAATATTATAAATGTGAAAGTGAGTAAGTCTGCAGTTTCATGGTCGTCCATAAACAGACGTATGCTGGGCGGATATGATGAACACAGCGAGCGTTTTATATCGGGTTAAAATAGAACTAACATCACGACTACTTGTTTAAATAGATTACAAATGTTTTGTGCAGATTCAAACGGCCTCGGTGATCTAGCGGTTTACTTACCGCATTATTACCAAAGGTCGCTGGTTCGCTTACTCGCACGGTGTAAAATTTGTGGTTTAGCATACCGACTTACTTCCAATGGTCGCGATGTGATTCCTTGCACAGTAAATTAATTTGTGTTCATGACTATGTTTGTTTGTATTGGTCTGGTTTTCCTATGTATATGTATATATTTAAACAAAAAAAGCATTTATGTTTATATATCATTTATCTATAACACAAGTATTACTTATAACACAAGCTCTGCTTAGCTTGGGACTAGATGGCGTTTGAGTTGTCCAGTGTTTATTATTATTGACGCAGACTAAACTTCTGTTGTTGTAGAACATCGTAGACACGTCCAATATTTGTGACGTGTACATGTAGTTGTAGTTAACGTGAATGGTAACGTCTGGTAGGTGAGGTGAGGATGGCGTGGCCAGGCAGAGGACGTGCCTCTGGCGACGCCACGCTACCGCCGGCGCACTATGACCACAGATTCTATGGCACTGACACCTAGCAGGTAGGTTACCTTGAGGGTTTCTGCAAATCCTCAGTATAAAAGCCAGAGTATCCCATACGAGGAATCTTAAATGTCTATGTTTACCAATTAACACGGAACTCAGTGACGCTATCGTGTTAATAGCTTACTAAGTAAGAGAAATGTAAAATAAAAAGAAATTTTCAAAATGAACGTCTCAGAACAGTAATTTATTATAAATTACTGTTCTGAATCGAAATAATAAATACATGAAAGAGAATGAAAGTAGATGTGTTCGATACCAGGAAACTACAAGGCATATTAGTGAAGCTACCAACAAATCTCGTTTATAATACATAATTGGGAGATTTAGTTGGAAAGATTGTCGTAGTATAGCATAATGCAGTTTAATATAATTCGAAAGTGGAAGGGTAAGAGTTGGTAGTAATAACAGACTGACTTATTTATTGATCTGAAATTTGAAAGAGAAGTTACAAATATCCATTTGACAGATAAGTTATAAAAGTGGACAAACAGGGAAAGATATAAGTAGATGTACGTGTAAATGTAATGGATTGGTAAAAAAATAGAAAAGTTCATTGTGACACAGAAAAGAAAATTTTGATTTGAATATTGCAATCATGAGTGAAATAAACCTATGGATTATGACGTAAGTTCTTTAGCTTGAAATACAAGTATAAATGTAGATTTAATCTACATAGAAGTAAATGATAACTTCTAAGAGTAAAACGAAAGAAAATGCTGAATCAACACATCGCTGAGTATAGTGTCACACGATTCTCGTTCCTAATAAAATTGAAGTCACATTGATACTGCAGATGTTAATTTTATTTTTGCATACAACGTTTTACGTTATATTATATTAAGAATAAATGTTTTACACATCACGCACCCTGCAAACGGTGAAGGGAAGCTTCTAAATTCTAACATTCTTCTTATTCATCCATCCATCGTCCATCTTTATCACATCATAATAGTTAATTTTCACAGATAACACTCGGGCATTCATCTAAACCTGACTGATTGACCTCTATTTAATCGTTATGTACTTGTTATGTAACAAGTTGTTGCATATGCATTTGTTTAGTATTTAATCAGTATGACGAGCAAACCCGCTAAAAAAGTTGAATAGTGTCTATTGTATTGAACAGCCACAATACTAATAAAATGAACTTAGACTCAAAGAACATAAAGCATAGAATAAGAGATATGACATCGATCCAAGAACAATAGAACCAAAAGAAATATTAAGACCAAAAGAACAAAGTATGAAATACTCGAGCAACAAAGAAAAATGCTCTGTGCACATATCCTATAAACAAAAATTAATGGAGTAAGAAAAAACGATGATTCTCTTAATTCATATCGCTCCATAGATATTATCGATATTAGTATACAAATTGTCACTAATAATACTAATATTATGTGTACTAAACTAAAACACACTTGAAATAAATGTTTACAATAGACAAAGTATTTTAGCTCATCATTTTCTTTAAAACCACTTGATAAAACTTTGTGTGCAACTCTTTGACTAAATTGTGGAGTATTTGGTTTAGTAGTCACTATTACGCTAACAATAGTTACTTATTAACAAAAATGTGTACATATCAAGTGTCAGCACCAACATATTTCAATTTAAATGTTGGCGCTGACACCTATACTAAATTCGTTTTATTTACTTAATCAGCATAAGACAGTATACTCGTACATATGCTAACTACGCAATAAATTGAATTAGCCATCCAATAGTTATCTTCAAATTTGTAAGAAAATGTTTTAATGGTGTTATTGCCCTTTAAATTAAACGATCCAATATTATTTTGATTCAGTTTATTAAATTCCGATGTCTTTAAATGAATAGTGAATTACTTTACCCGTTCATTGTGCATTTAATATTTTGAGTCTAATGCATTACATAGTGCAAGTTGCTCGTTCGTATTCAAATATTTCAATTTAAAAATGTAAAGCTAAACAAGTTAACATTTCAAACGTGTAATTTAATTAAGTTGTTAACTGCATACCTGTGTATTCAACTGGTGCCATGCCGGTCGGCTTTGTCTGGGTGAAATTAAATTTGTTTCTTAATACGTTACATATATGAACATATTTAATATATCTTCTTAGTTATTTATTTTAAATAATGTTACGATAACTGACTCGAATTATTATACTCGTATTATTTACAATTCATAAAACTACTTTATCATTGTTATGTTGTGTCGCGTACAAACGTTACTAGTGTGATAGTATCATATGATCTTTATTATAATAATATCATGCATGTACCAGTGATATTCGGTTTAAAACAGATTATTTACAATAAACGATAACACCTTTTTGTGATTAGGTACATTGTAAAGATACAATTATTTAATTTTCCGTATCAGTTCAGTAACATGCATGCAGGCGTACGCATCATATTGTGTTTCTAGACACCTTACCGTATTAAAAAATAAATTATGACCTAATGTAATTTTTTCTTCTAGAAAGTGATATTAATATTAATCTAATTGTTCGTAATATAAATATCAGACCAATTAATAAGTTTGATACACATCTGAAAAGGAGTGCGTCATAGGTTTATTTGTGAGTGACAATATGAATTAATATTATTATTGCAAATGTTATCCATATAGAAGATTTCGAACAAAAAAATTGAATGTGTTCACATATGCAAGTGTATATGTGAGATACCCAAAGGCATTTTTGAGTAAAAACTTCTGATAAAGGTAATTTATTCTTACTATTTGAAACAAAAACTTGAATCAAAATAATATAGGGGTGTTTATTTAATGTTTATGCAAGTTATATTGGCAGAAAAGAACTGTTGCCCTTAAGTTAAAATCATGCACATGTATACGAAACAATTCTATTATATTAGTTGACAGAATGTGTCTATTTGATATATATTTATCGATTCACTCGCAGGCTTGAGGAGGAGACAGCGCGGTCACCTTGCTTGAGTGAAAACGAAAACATCTCGGCAAAAATGTTGGCGACAAAAAGACGCGTCCTGCTGGACGTGCTCATGGCGTGCTGGGGGATGGGCACGTGGCTCGGCATCAACGGTCTCTACGTGCAGTTGCCGCTGCTTGTGGAGAGGCTTCCCGAAGGCTGGGCTCTGCCCGCTTCGATGACTGTAGCCGTTCAAATTGCGAACATCGGTCTCCTGCTTTACGCTCTATTCAGGCGAATATTTACTATGGTTAAGGATGCAGCCTATATATATGCATTACTAATAATTGGTGCCTTAGCTTTATTACTTAACGCGTTCCTATACACAGAGACAGCAATGGTCGGTCAGACAGAGCGATCCGTAGCGTTTCTATCGTTAACTTTCTTCGCCGGCCTCGTCGGATGCACTAGTTCAGTATTGTTTTACCCGTACTTAAGATACTTCCGGGATATTTACTTAGCTACGTACTTAGTTGGCGAGGGATTGAGCGGGTTTATACCGAGCATCTTGTCGCTCATACAGGGCGTCGGCGGGGAGCCAGAGTGCGTCCCCTATGGCGATAATTCCACTATACCCATATATCCGCCTGCAAGGTTCGACTCAACAGTCTTCATGCTCATACTTGCAGTCCTCGCTATTATTAGTTTCGTAAGTTTCACAATTATAGATAGCACAAAAATTTTCGAGTCGGAAAGGGTGTCACCGACTGCGGCAGTGAAAGATGAAGAAGCAGTGCAGCAGTTTTCATTGTCGCATCCGAAATGGCTGTCGACTCTTTTACTGATGGCATGTTTGAACGCGCTGTCGAACGGCGTGCTGCCATCGATACAGTCCTACTCATGTATGCCATATGGGACGCGGGCGTACCACTTGGCAGTGGCCCTGGGAACGAGCGCAAATCCCATGGCATGTTTAGCTGGTGTGTGGTTGCGGCCGGTGCCAGCCAAGGCGCTCGCAGCGATGTTGTCGGTAGCCGTGGTGCCGTTCACCTTCATCCTGACCACAGCTCTGATGAGCCCGTCACCGCCACTGCAGCATCAGGCCGGGGGTGAAGCATTAGTTGTTAGTATTATCATTTATTATTAGTCTATTAGTGATGCTTGATGCAGAAATTTAAAAAAAATATAAACAAGTTATACATTTCTATAACTTTAATTACTTCGTACATTGGAATGCCAAACAGGTTGAATGTATGACAATATTGTAAACCAAGGAAGAATTATTAAAAACGGTCTAGAATTGTTGAATACTACTACATATTATAATTAAGGAGTAAAAAATAAAATAAAATTAAGTATCACTTAATTTACCGAGCTAGACTGAGTACGTACGTGGCAGCAAAAGATGTTTTCGGTTGAAAAATGAAATAAGCCAGTGTTATTACAGGATTTGGAGGCATGACATCTTGCTCCTCCGGAATGGCAACGAACGTCATATCCTTGTATATAGACGACAGTTGCCACTTTTTACTTTATCTGCAGTACTACTTAATTCTTTATTAGTTTATTTTGCATTTTTTATTAGTTTAACTTAACTCCTCTTAAACGATTGGACGGTTTTGGATGAAATATTAAATGCATTTTTCAATGGGTACCTCAATGGTTCAGAAATTCAATTAAATCCGCTAAGTGGAGCTATTTTTCCGGACAAGACAACTTTTACCAGTTTTTTTTAGAGAAATGGGCTTGCGGCTCACCTGGTGGTAAGTGATTAACGCCGCCTACAAGCAACCGCAACTGCACGGGAATTACCGAACTTTTGACAAGGAATAAGTTGGTTACTTATAATATTCTGGTTGTAATTTGCAGGTATTGTCATGGGTGTGCGTGCTGGCCATAGTTTCATACGCCAGGATGTGGGTATACGGGTGGGCACGTGCGGGCGGAGCTCGTGGCATGCGTGCTTGCGGCGTGTCCACGCAGATCGGGTCCGCTCTCGGCTCGCTGCTTTTATTCTCACTCGTCAACTATACCAGCTTGTTCACGCAACCCGATGTCTGCCCCACTGTTATATAGAAAATTTATATATTTTATTTAAATATTTAAGTAAAAAATGTTGAATTAATACTGTAGTTTTTATTGCTTTAGATGCTAGGACTGTTTTAGTGTGTGCTGATAAGCTGATGATATATACGAATAGTATGGACGGACATCACTGTCTAATCAAGAAGAAAGAGCAAGAAACTGTTTTTTAGGGATATTTTAGGATTTTTTTTCTACGACCAGTAAATTTTTTGTTGCTCTTTTAAACCAATGTTGTTGAGCATTAATTTTTAAAATTTTTGTCCGAATAAGCTTAGTTAATAGTTAGTAGATCTTTAATTTACTAAAGTTACTAAAATCCATAGTATCTATACAGATAAATAAAATTGAAGTATCTGTTTCTAATTTAAAATTGACAGTCTTTCACTAAATGTATTTGGAAAGTATGTACGGTACTTACACCAAAAAAAGTATTTAAAAAAACAATGAGATTATCATGAACAAACAAACAGGCAGATAGACGTCTACAAAGATTCGTGATTGTTTGTTCTTGAATTAATAATCGTCTTTGAAACCGGTTTGATAGCTTCTTGGACCGATTTTAACGGGACTTGCAGTCGCAGATAGCTAATCTTATAAGGAGTAAGTTTGATTACTTTTGTTTTAGGAGATTTATTTCAATTTCATGCGTAGTCGTGGGTAATAGCTAGTCGTAATACCTGATTGTTTGTTCTTGCTAATCTCTGAAACGGCTGGACCGATTTTAACGGGACTTGCAGTCGCAGATAGCTAATCTTATAAGGAGTAAGTTTGATTACTTTTATTTTAGGAGATTTATTTCAATTTCATGCGTAGTCGTGGGTAATAGCTAGTCGTAATTAAATGTCATTAGAGGTCAAGATAAGATTTTAAAATAATGTACATATAGATTATATATGTACATTATTTAAAAATAAATTTATATATACACCTATTATAATTGAAGGTCAATGAAAGTTTCTTTTATCTAGTTAGGTATATAGATAAAACAATATTTGCAGCAATCTTAGGTAAATTGAAACGAAATCTAATACAGTTTATTGCACAGCATTTTCTATGAGGAAGATTAGTACCTAATAAGCCGGTAGAATTACTGTGCAAATATGGATATCAACACTAATGACTGGTAGTGAAATTACGATAATGGCTATGGATTTATGGTTGTACACCGACTTCTTTTATTTTTGTATATCTTACGATCGTTAAAGTGGACTACAGTAAGTGGAGTACAGATGAGGTTGAGGAGGTTACATCTTCTAAGTAGACTATACTAGGACAATTTAGAACATAATCTATCTGTTAAATAAAATCCTAAATTAAGTTAAGTAAAATCATTAAATAAGTTGCTACCCAAAATCCCGCCTTCCTTCAAGTTTCCCAAACATGTCTTTGGCGAATGCACCTTTTGCAGCCATAAAAAAACGCAAATTTATTAATTAATATACGACCTCTGGATCTTATGCACGTAATATTTTTTATCACTACAGCTCGGCTGTCTACTACAGTTAAGAAGAACTGGCAACAAACCTAATTGATATATTCAAAACACAAATTTGGGATCACCTTTCAAAATCACGACAAGTCTTAAACAAGGTTGGCTGCGCTGGAGTACAGAAAAGTAGGATTCTAGAGTACACAAGAACATGTTCCTTCCCCAAAAATATATTGTCAGTATTTTTCTATCCGCGGGTAAACTGCAGTAGGTAGGTAGTTACAATTGTCGATAATGGCTGGTAAAATTACTGTAACAGATATGAATTTATGATTACAAAATGATATGTTTAAAAATCAGTCGCTCGTATCATAGAGTCATACCTACATTCAACTAAGCTAATTCAAATAAATGGATATTAATTTCATATTCACGTTTTTTGCAACCAAAAATATTGAGTTTTTGTCTATGTTTCTATGTTGGTCTCCAGGTGAGATGGTTTGTGCGATATATACTTAACAAAAATCTTTAAAAATGGACAAGTTCTTGAAAAATTGTTCTTATTTTAATTTAAGCTGATATATTGAAGTTGTATCATGAGGCTTCTCGGTGGGGCTTCAGATTGCGTATTGGAAACTTGGAAAAGGTGCCGGAACTACCAGCTTATGATATATACCGCGAAGGCGTCTTTCTGGACGTTGGCTGCCATAATTTCGATCACTTATTAAATGAAGTACGTTATACTTATGTGTTTATTCTTAGAAGAGTAGATATGACGGGCTAGCTCACTGTCTCGACCGTTAGCGCAAGTGGGTGAACCATTCCATTTTCGTCCACAAAAAATGGTACCTATAAGTACGCTATATTTGATGAAAGTTCAGGACTATGAATATACTTAGATATTATTTATAAACATAAAGTTTTATCCTGCTAAATGCTGTAATAAGCAGATTTAAGTTACTGTATGTATAAAATAGAAGGAGAAATAGAATCCTTACTAATATTATAAACGTTAAAATACTTTATTCTGTCTGTCGCGCTTTCACGCCAAAACTACTGAACCGATTTAAATAAAATTTGGGTCCTCCACAGATAGTCTAGATCCTGAAAAATGACATAGACTACTTTTTAATACGGAAATAGGGTTGAAAGGGGAGATGCAAGATTGTAGGGAAGAATCGTCATTTTGAAAGCTGAAAGCCTGAAAATTATAATATTCTTTAGGCTGTTGACAGAGTTGTATGAAATTCTATACGGGAATTCGTCATTTCCGAAGCTAGAACGATGTAACTTTTTTACATGGCTTTATATTGGGTTAGATTATTAAATATTTTTTCATAATTTGGTCAAGGTCACTATTCTACGCGTACGAAGTCGCGGGTACAGCTTACTCTATATACCCAACTAATTGTATATTTTTATAAAGGCATCGGCTACACGTGCGTTCAATCATCGTTACACTTGGCTTCTCTTCCACGATTCTCCTTACAACAAATCTACTGTGGAAAAAAATCTTATCAACTCTACCATCCTACCTGATGCTGACGTCATTTGGTCCACTCCTGACGCGATGGTAGACGTATACAAGGTTAAAGAAGATCTACCACTCATAACTACAGACTTGGGACTGGAGAAAACACGTGACCTAATGGAATTAAAGACAGTATGGTCGCAACAACCAACTGCTGTTACTAGAAGAAGGGATCTCGGGAACATATTCTTGAAATCTGCTACATTAGTAAGTATATTGATGTTAGTTTTATCTGTAGTACTTGTCTATAAAGCTGAAAGATTAATTGTGTGTTTAGAAGAGCTAATCTCTTAATGGAAATAAAAAATATCTTTGATTTGATAGCCCATTTCTGGAAGCATGTTATAATCTGTTAAATGTGACAACCCGTCCCTTAAAAGCCTAGTGAAAAAAAAAATGCTAAGCCAAAAACATAATGCTATGCGGTGGTTATAACAATGGCAAGAACTACATACATAGGATAATCATCGGCTCAAAAGAGCTGAAAGACTTAAAAAAGTTGAATAGAGGATAATACGTTAGGGACAGATAGCTAAATTATAAGAATTATTTGAAAAAAATCTCAAGTTCTTCCTAAAGTAAAACCATTAAAATATACTATATTATAAATATATAGTATTCTAGCTGTACCCGTGACTTCGTCCGCGTGGAATTTAATAATATTAATATTTAATAAAAAAGTTAATTAGAGAGAGAATTTTTCTATAATAAAAGTAGTCTAAGTTACTCCTTATTATATCGGCTACCTGCCAATAAAAGTCCCGTCGAAATCGGTCTAGCCATTTCAGAGATTAGCCGGAACAAACAGACAGACAAAAATTGTAATAAATGATATTTTGGTGTGTGTATGTATTTACATTCATATGCTTGTTGTAAAAACGGTTATTACAATATTGCAAACAGACAATCCAATTTTATTTATATGTATAGATTATCTCTACATAGTATAAAACAAAATTGACGCGTCTAATCTTATAAAACCTCAAATGAAGGTTGAAGCTGAAAATTGAACAATCTCTACATTATATAACAATCTTATAAATCTTATGTTGTATTATGTATTTTATATTCTTATGAACATGTTGTGTGTGATTAGTAACAAACAAATAAACGATATATCTATCTATCTATAATATATTCCTTATTACATTTCAGATATCTCAGCCACAGCATTTTAAGGGTTGGTCTGATTTAACGAAACGTCACATCGACACTTTTCCTAAATTAACTTATCCCATAATGAACTTGTGTGCTGAAGACCTGCATTTTAGGTAACTATAATAAAAGTATTTATTATCTAAGTCACATTAACTTTTAATGAAAATCTGAAAGAATTAATTAACTCATTTTCTTTCGGTTACAAATCACAATATAGTTCTATTGTGTTTATTCACTTTCTAAATCTCAGTAGTAGGTACCCGCGACTAGACAACGACGACGCCATTTTTATGTAATTGTAATGGCAAACAAGTTGACAACTTGTTTGTTGGTACTGATAATCGTCGCCTACAGCAGCCTATACATGAACAGCACGACAGACATATCACCTCATCATGTAACATTCTCGGTACCAGTCAAGCATTGAAGACTAAGATGACATGCCACTTATCTATATTGTAATTTCACTGCATACTCTGCCCTTACAACTGAAACCCGGCTTAGAGAACGAACAACTTGACAGCTTAAATAGGGTACTATAGACTCAGTCTACACACCACAAACGAGTTTTTGCAATATACTTCTTCGCAGATCTATATAGAAGACATAGATATATATGTAGATTTGCAAAGACATTCGGAAATTCGCTCTCTGTATATATTAGTCTCGTGTATCTAAAGCTGCACTAGAAGGCTCCTATCAAAGGCTGGCCAGGGAGAGAAACACGAGCAGTGAAGGTAAGTGTTTACGTAAGTTACTCCTTATAGTTATACCCGGGTTACAAGTTCTGGGAACTGCTCAGAGTTTCACCCTCTGCCGCACGGTGGGCCTGGTCCCGCATGGTGAATCTATGGAATGCTAAGATGATTGTATGTTTTGCACAGACATAACATGAAGCAGGTAGACTTGTATGGAGAGGAGCGTAACGGCACATTCAATGGCCTCGCAGGGTTGTTGCAGCGTAATGACGTAGAGATCGGGATCACGTCTATGTTCATGCGCCAGGATCGCTTGAGAATACTGCACTACTGCTCCGAGACGGCGGAGTTGAGGTGCAGTTTTGCATTAATCTATTTATTAGTTCCTTAAATACTAAAGATGTCTTGTACACATTTCATAACATTGATATACGATAATTATATCCTGCAGAATTGTGTTAAAATTCTAAAATTTGAGGAAAAGTAGGCTAAATATTGTAAAATACACAGAAGTCAGCCAGCTTTACCTCAATTTTTATTAAAATGTAAATTGATGGAGGCCCTTCACTCCACATCCAAAACATCCACATTCGAGGCAGTTTTAAGGTGACGTCTATATTGGAGATTGGTTTTGGAAAGCCGCATCAGCTGCTACGTCATGCGGCGACCATCAGACCATATGACAAGAACAGTATTTGATAGGAGTACCCAATCCAGAAAACGCGGTAGATTTTGCCTTACTTGTATATCGTTAGGGACGATACATAAACACCCTAGACGACGCAGGACCGACCTCAAATAAATGGAACTAAGGCCAGGCGAAATATAAAGATGATTAAAGGATCTGACTGAAAAAAGTACACCTACAAATAGATAATCAGGATTATCACGTCTTGTTTTTCATGAATAAGGCTGTTTATTAAAACGTGTTGGTTATTTGTTCAGTTCTTTTTAATTTTCTTTATTCCGCGAAAGAAAATTAAACATTACGTTACAGTATAATTTGGCTTCTAGGGGTGCATTCATATTTCGCCAGCCATCCCAGTCGGCTGTATCGAACGTCTTCCTTCTGCCGTTCAGCGACGGCGTGTGGTGGGCCAGCTTTGCAATGACAATGGCAATGGCCGCACTTCTAGCCGCGCTTGGGTACACTCTACACAAGGCGGACCCTGAACTCGCACTGCTTACGCCGTTCGAAGCGTTGTCTTTTGCAATTGGAACCGCATGCCAACAGGGTAAGAACTAAAACACTTGATTTCACTTCTTTTTAATGAACTGGCTGGTATCCACGACTTCGTCCGCGTGGTATTTAACAAAAAACTATCTTCTTGGTTTTAATTTTGTTTTCACGGAAACAAAATATTTTTTTATTAAATAAATAAAAGTAGCCTAAGTTACTCCTTACAATATTAGCTATCTGCGAGTGAAACTCCCGTCAAAATCGGTCAAGCCGTTTCAGATATTAAAACAAACAGACAGACAGACAAATTTTAAACACTTTTATGATGTAAATACTTTATACTATACTTTTATATGTACGAGTAGATTATATAAGCGAGTTTCAAGACATTTGTAGCCCGGGTCCCCGACCACAAACGCCTTGAAACCTGCGTTGTGACTCGATTCCAGCTGCGCCACCCGCTATGTCAGGTTACTCTTGGTCCTTAGGTAGTTGACAATGGGCTCCTTGTGTTATTAAGAATTGTGCCTGTATGTAGGTTTTTACAGAACACCAAACCTGATGTCTGCACGGTTGGTAATGTTCTGCTCGTTGCTGATGGCGCTATTCACCTTCACCGCGTACTCTGCCAAAATAGTGGTCATACTGCAGACGCCCAGTGATGCTATACAGACCATCAGTGACTTAGCCAAATCTCCAATGACTCTCGGCGTCCAGGAGACCACATATAAACGGGTATATTTTGCTGTACGTATATTACTTATTATATTTAAATATTATCTTACTAATTAGTTAAATGTGGAAATTTGTGAGCATTGATGGATGGATGGATGAATGTTTACTCTCTTACGCAACAACTATGGAAAGTATTTTGACGAAAGTTTACAATGATATAGTTTATACATCAGAATAATATATAGGCTACAATTTAAAAAGATATTATGTAAATTGAGCGAAATATAATAATAAATGTTAAGTAAGTGTGATGCAGTCGAGTTTACTAGTCATATGGCTACTCATACAGACATGTGACTTCTGTGGTACCGCTAATAAGTTGTCACTTCGCAAGACTAAGGACTAAAGTGTCGTAGGTATGATGTGACAGGAATGTTTTATGGAAGCTGTATCTTGTAATTTCAATGGTTTTTATTGCTTTGTAAGCTGTTTGGGTTGAGAGCTCTCAACCCAAACAGCTTACAAAGCAATAAAAATAGGCAACACAGAGTGAAACCCGACTAGATAAACGACTTTTGCAAAATTTACATTGCTTTATTTCATCGTTATCTGCCAACCAAACCGAGTATAGTATGCATACTGATTGCCGATATACAAAGAAGAAAGTAAAAATAATTTATTTCCTCGTTCTTGTGTAGGAGAGCTCAGATCCTGCAACGATAGATTTGTACCGTCGCAAGCTGCTGCCGAATGGTGATCGCGCCTACCTCAGCGTCGACGATGGTATTGCGCGAATGCGTACTGGACTCTTTGCCTTTCAGGTATATTATCACTACGACTGATTTAATCTTATTATCTGCCTTTACATGTTCTTTCACGTGCGATCAGGAGTGCGCGTGATTTAGCGCGAAAAACCCAGCGCGCGCAATCGTGATTGCTTGCATTTGTTCACTGTTTCGCTCATAATAGTTTCAAGTTATTTCACTTTCTTTTATAATTTTATTTCTTATCCCACAGATTTAGATAACACATTGCAGATTTAAATATTATCAATAACTCTATAATTTTGTCTTTGCTCTGTAAATATATATATCTTTACAAAATGCGCTAATACAAACACCATTGAAGTACGCGGGATTGCGCGAATTGTCTTTTTGTCTACATTTATATATCTACATATTCTTTCCTGCGTGATAGCCGATTCTCGTGTGAAAGAACATGTAAAGGCATATTTTATTTTTGGACTTCTCTGATGCTGTTTGAGCAGCTGGCTTTTATACCTTCACCAGACGATAGGGCTTGCCCCCTATGCAGATGGGACTCCAACCCCCGGACGGACTTATCGAGCGGCTGAAGGCCAACTCCCGTCTGAAGTGTTGATTTGATTTATTGATATTTTGATTTCACCAATATCTATGTATTTATTGTGACAATAAGCAATTACCATGTTCAATTATTACATTTATTCATATATAAACTGTATGTGTTACTAATCTGTTATAATTGTTAATGCTCTGCTCACCTGATTTCGGGTTAAAATATTTTATACAATCATTTTAATTTAAGGTGCGATCTATCTGTTTATCAAATTTTATCCGAATTGATCCAGCCATTTCAAAGCGACTAAGTAAGAAACATTTAGACATGAAAACTTTCACATGTGTAATATGACCAGGATGTTCTGTTATAATTTAATCTCAAACTGGCGATGAAATCGTATTTATCAAATCATTTATCAGGCCTAAGTGACACAGACTGTATTATTGTATTTGCAGGTGGAACAAAGTTCAGGGTACGATATAATCAGCAAGACATTCACTGAACGAGAGAAATGTGGCTTGAAGGAAGTACAAGCCTTCCGATTACCCATGGTCAGCGTTCCTATCCGGAAACACTCAGGTTACAGGGACCTATTGGCTTCCAGGTGTTTTTTTATTTTTTTCTACAATTCTTATGTAACTAGTGGCAAATAGCTGACAGCTAACTGATGGGAAATGGCCATAGCTTCTGTGAATGTATGAACAGTCAAATGAACTATTTCTAGATTTCTTTTTTAAATGAGTTGACGCACAAATAAGCGAACTGACAACATCATGGAAACCATACAGTGAAACTAACATTACATGATATCATGGTACATCAGTGTTACGTCTCAAGCATTGTCGTTTTGGAGGACTAAGGTTATATACCTTCCTCCTAAGTTTCAAAAACTATACTTCTAGATATAATTACGCTACTAGTGAAATAATACAAAACTAAAGTTAAAGTCCTATGTAGGACGTACTAAAATATAGCCTTAGAAGGCCATAGAGCCTTCTAAAGCTATATTTATATGTATTTTATTATACTATAGTGCTATTTTTAATATTAAGAATATAGAATCTTCGTATATGAGAATGAGAATAGCAGTAATATGAAAATAATATCTTATAGTGTAACGTACGAAGATTAATAAAATATGTTATGATAGCTACTTATTATAAATTGAGTATATATAGGTAGAGTTATTTTTAAAGTCATTATATAAGGCATTTGACAAATAATTTTATTGTCTTGAGTTTCTATTACAAAAATCTTACATGATGCACTGAATATCTCCTGAATATTTTAAATTCACAAAATTGAAAATTGTTTTTGTTCTACAAAGTAATTATTATACCTACGATTATTATGAAATATACATTTATATAGTCCTTGTAAAAATATTTTACCCTTAGAGGAAAAATATTATAATTGCATATTTCAAATTACTTTTGTGTGTGTTTGTGAAAAATATAGTTTCAGGTAATGTTTTATCAATACCTATATTATTTAACTTTATGCAACTAATTCGTAACAACTGATTATTTTATGGCAATTAATGTTATACAGTGATAAGACCACTCATTCTTGACTTTTTACCTTCTGTCTTAGTTTATTTATATATATTATCTTTATTGTGGTGAATAGCCATTTTCTTTTATAATTATGGATACAATTTAATCTATAGACAAATCCGATGTTGTAAAGACATTATCAAACGTGACTTTTTGTTTTTGCTTTCGGTTGCATGCATTTATCTATACTAATTATTTAATGAAGTAAAGTTTGTGAGTTTGTATTTTTAGGGTAATCTCCAAAATCCAGTTGCACTGATCCGATTTTGAATTTTTTTTAGTACCTATTGGTTAGCCCATTTATCCAAGTACGCTATTGTTTATATTACTGTTGAGAAACTCTTTTGATATTAATATATTCAAAGTTTATTTTTTGTATTATATAATCAAAAACAAAATTCTATACATGTCAGTTCACTGTCTCTTCTATGACCATTAAAATATTTATCCCTTTATAAATAGTTTTACTACATATTTCTAAAAGAATAACATCTCGCTACCAGCAGAAGCTGCAATGAGAATGTTACATAGGAACTGGGTTGATAGGAAATAATCTTGTGCAAACCGGGAAAATGTAACATAGACGAAGTTGCGCTTGCTGCACTGTATTATTGTAAATATGAATGTGACTTGTAATATACAAGTTTCATTCATTGACGATTTCAATTCAAAACCATTCTGGTGTAATATTACGGGCATAACTTGATTAAGTGATGTTTGTGAAGTATTAGGAGGCGGTTGTCACCTTCAATAACTTGGTTTCTCAGCCTTATTTATTAAAAAAATAAAATTGGAAGGAATGTGTCCGCTTAATAAAATTACGATAATATTTTTCAGTATTCGATCAATCTGTATTCAGTCTCCTCACATAAACGCATCTTTGAATCGTAATTTTGAAATATAATCATAATATATTTAATAGGCACTTTAGAAAGTATTTTTTTATTATTACCACAATGTTCTGTATATTTTTAGGTTCTCATACTGTCTTGGACAGGAAGAACGAATAAAAAAAAAATTTTGCGAATGAAATATTTTAGTTACTTTTAAAACATCCAAGTTTCATTTTCATTCATGATTTTGTTTACGAACTGCTAAATGATCATTCTGGTGTGATATTACGGGCATAACTTGATTAAGTGATGTTTGTGAAGTATTAGGAGGCGGTTGTCACTTTCGATAAGTTGGTTATTCAGCCTTATTAAAAAAATGGAAATTAGAAGGGGACACATTCCTTAATAAAATTACGATAATATTTTTCAGTATTCGATATATATGTATTCAGTCTCCTCACATAAACTCGATAGCAATAGTTGCAATTGTAATTTTGCTTTAAATATAATTATAATATATGTCTATTATTACAGTAGGTATAGGTAAAGTATTCGTTATTCTGGAAATTACGAATACTTTACCTATACTTTATTACAATTCCAATGTTCTATATATTTATAGGTTCTCATACTGTTTTGGATTGTTGTTGATTTGTTAATGAGTTAATGATAGGTCCTTATTTTGGTAAAAAATAAAATTTTGCGAGTATTTTAGTTACTTATAAATCATACAAACTTATTGAAAGATTATCTGATTAATGTGAAACGTAACGTAAAATTTCATTAACTCACTGAAATTTTATACATAGGATAAGGCAATTATAGTTATTGTTGAAATTTTTCATAGTTACATGTTTTATATAAATATAGGCCGGAGACATGCAGGCTTAAAAATAAACGTTTGATACTAGATTACGGTGGCAACGAGAGGTGGGTTTGATAAATCGCGAGCAGCGTCACTGGCTGGCGGAGCGACCGCGGTGTGATGCTGCGGGCGCTGGTTTTCTAAGCGTTGGGATCGCAGATATCCTACCCGCCATCCAGGTACATAGAACTTTTATTTAAAAGTGTTAAACGAAACACTTTTCCTTTGGAAAGTTTACACTCTATCCTGAAGAAAGAAAACCATCGTTCTTATGAATATGCTTCAAGTTTTATCATTGATGGGTCTGGGTAGCAAACTCTGAAAAAGGGAAAGCACAATAAATATATGTAAGTAATCTTCTTGTGATGATCTGCTTTCTGAAGGAGCATTGGAGTCAAAGACCCTTGTATGAATTCCAACAATTGTCATATTAAGTTTCTTTGAATGAAGATTATCTCTATAGGTACTAGTCAAAGTTTAATCATGCGGCACACTTTCGGTCACTTTTACCATTTTTAAATACTATCACTGATTTTCAGCACGGAATTCCGTTTACTATTAACACAATTTTTTTTGGCCGCAGCTGGCCTATACAGCTTTACCGGACGATAGGGAGCGAGTGCGGATGGCACTCCAAATTCGCGGAAGCACTTCTGGAGCGTCTGAAGGCCAATTCCGGCCTGACGGATACGACTTTAGTCTGAGGGCACCGTTAGGGTTTCGAACTTCGGCTCAGGCCGTCGTAATATCGATCCCCGTTTGAATTGTACGGTGGATCACAAAATAACATTTTGCTTTTTTTGCAGGTGTTAAGCGCGGGCGCTCTTATATCTGTATTGTTGTTACTATCCGAAATAGTAAATTACAAAATGCGACGTACAGGTATGAAGAACATTCAAAATTGTTTTAATATATGCCATTTTAGAAAAAATACGACTTCAGGAGTTTGTATGTGTAGACAGTTATCTACGAAACCACTGAACATATTTTCAAAATGGTTTTTAAATTTTCAAGTCAAATCCTAAGTTTTAAATTTTAAATAGATTTTTCAATACAACATGCAAATTGTGTAAAAATTAGGTCATACATGTATAAGCTGCGACTTTGTCTACTTTCTTTTAGGTAAAAGATGCTTGTGCCTATATGACGATATATGACGACCTCGGTGGTCTAGCGGTCAAGCACACCGCTTTACGACCGATGGTCGCGGGTTCGATTCCTCACACGGCACAAACATTTGTATTCATGAGTATGATATATATTGTATCGGTCTGGGTGTTTTCTATGTATAATATGTATCTATTTAAAAAAAAAATATCTATGTATATGTATCAGTTATCTAGATTTTTATCTATCCCTATTATAACACATATATACTAGCTTAACTTGGGTCTAGATGGTTCTGTGTGAATTGTCCTGAGATTATTATTACATAGAAACCTTTCCCTTGAATCACTCAAAACTTCATTAAAATCTAATGCGTAGTTTAAAAGATCTAAGGTAAGTATGTAATATTATGTTATCTGTGCTAGAAGTTTCCAAACTTTTTTGTGTCGTAGACCCTTTGCCATATTTTTCTGTTTTGGGTAGACCCCCATTCTTACCTGGTATTGATTTTTTGTAAATTTCTAACTGTAGTAAAGTTAACACTAAACTTTAAAAACATAATATAAAAACAACAAGAAGACCGCTGTCGTAGATCATGCAGTTAGTCATAGACCCCTAGGGTCGATATAGACCACTTTGGGAATCACTGATCTAAGCGAAACAGTAGAACCGAGTTCATTTTATACTCAAAGTATGTAGAGATTCTAGTAGGGATTATGAATGACAATAATAATAAAAGAAATACTCAATAACATTTATATATTTTTCTTTATTTGAAATATAAATTCGTTCGTTTTCGGTGACTGATGGAAAACTTCGTCTTCGACCAAACATTCAGCTGATTTACCGAAGTTTGTAAGTTCCGTTGGACATTAACGCAGACCACAGGTTAAGAAACATTGTACTAGATACATAGTTAAGAATGTTACGACAGGTGGGGACTAGAGCACAGAGACTGCATAGCAAGACAGCACAATAAGGACGACTGCACTTAACGTCAGCAGGATCATGTCGAGAAGATGCGCCGTTGCCTTCCACGCGCCTGCCGTAGACAGATCCTGAAGTAGTGAACACGACAAAATAAGTTCTGTAGTCCTGATATTAAAATTTATTTTTAATTAATTTCATTCGTTTCATTTTATTGATATCTATACAGACAAATGATATTGAAGTGTCTGTAATTTCAACTAAGCTTTTCACGAAATGGATATAAAAGTAGATAGGGAATTTTTGTCTTTCTGTTTGTTCTTGCTTATCTCTGAAACGGATGGACTGACCATTTCAGACGAGTTTTTCAACTAGGCTACTTTTATTTTAAGAAAAAAATTGCACCCTTGTGGTACCTACCCCTTACACGTTACCATTGCTGCGACTAAAGTGTCCTACATTAATTCAAATTCAATTACACTGGCATAACGAGTATGATTGTTTATCATACCCATAAATACACATATTTGTACCGTGCGAGAAATTGAACCCACGACCACCAGAAGTACCTAGGGCTTATGCAGCATGTAATGTAGTTTACCTCTTCTAATGACAGCTTGCATATATTGGTGACAGTAAATAAGAATTGTCGTAATGATTGCGGTGGTGACGAAGAAAAGCGTGCCACCCGCGTGACCAGTGCCGCCGATATGGTCAGCACTGCGGCCAATGTGCACAGAGTACACTGAAGGGCTAGCAGAGTCGGCGTCGTTGCTGAGCTCGGCAGTCGGATTAATGCTGATATCAACCTGAAATACATTGGTGAAGGGAATTGTCAGTAATATGTGCTAATGTGCCTTTAAACGGCATATAGCCCACTCATGTATAAACTAAATATCTCCTTTGGAAAATATACAGTATATCCTGAGGATATAAAATACAACGCTCCTAAAAATATCCTTCAATTCTTGTCCCTGACGGGTCTAGGTAGCGAATTTTGAAAAGACAGATTTTTATTCTACAAATTTTATATTTGTTTTTGGAAAGTTTTATAACGTAAGATTTATATATTATCAATCACGCTATAATGGCTTTGCTTTAGAATCAGAGGTCCGCCATTTTGCAATGATTATTAATTATTACAAAAAGACGCTAAAGCACGCAAAGTTGAAGGACGCGGGAATGCGCGAACATAAGGCGCGTGCGGTTTTTGCGTGAAAGAGCGTACGTGTAAAGGCAGCTAATATTTGAAAATACATTTCTAGTAAAAGTTAAACGTACCAGAGCGCGGCTATGAAAGCAGCAGTAGCGTACAACGGGTTTCTATGTTCGGGCGGTAATACCATCGCGGCCACTATCAGCAGCACCGTGGTGCAGAGGACGGCAGTGGAGGCCCACGCGTGCGCCGCCCCCCGTCGATGCAGCGTCAATTGCCAGCTGATCAGGCTCCGAGCTTCTGTGCCACGAGTCCACACTCGGGAGCTACCTGTGACAGCCACCAGCTGCCACATTCCGGACTCCGAAACCGTAGATTGCTGATAGTGAAATACTTTAAAATAGTTAATTTACAAATAAAAAGTCTTCGAAGTGCAAATCCAAAGCATCCCGTTTTGGGTTTCTTGTACAGTTCCGACTTTTTAGTCTTTTCTTAGTCGGTGTTTCATACCTGCAGAGATCTATTGCGCTCGCTCTTTTTTTAGAGTACGCTGATAGTGAAATACTTATCTTACTAAATATTATAAATATAGAAATTTGTGTGGATGGATGGATGTTTGTTATTGTTTCATTCAATTATCTTTTTATTCAATTGTGATTATCAAAAACACTTCATACATATTTTTTGGGTAACTTGAACCGTTTACGCAGCGCACGCAACGCAATCCTCCACATATGAATAATTTTCCCCCTTTTTGCAACATTTTTCACTGATGATTCGCTTCTATTGGTCGTAGCGTAATATAATATAGCTTAAAACCTTCCTCGACAAATGGACTATCCAACACATAAAGAGTTTTTCAATTCGAACCAGTAGTTCCTGAGATTAGCGCGTTCAAACAAACAAACTCTTCAACTTTATAATATTAGTATAGATTAGTATAGATAACCATATTCGAACTTATGACCTTTGAGGTCACAATAGTAAAACACTACGCTACAACAGACTAAAATTTAATATCCACAATATTACCTGTTGCTCACTCAATTCCAACAGCATCTCATCCAAACTGTGCTCTCTAGATGCGAACTTGAATGAGATGGTTTGCTCATCGTACGGCCAGTCCTTCAGCTGCATAGCAACGGGTACTTTCACGTCAAACCGTGTCAGCCAAGTGATGCGACCGTCACTGGTGAGGCGCGCTCGGAGCCCTGCCTCCTCGCCAGTTGACGCCGCGTTCAACAACGCCACATCAGGCAACCAGAGTCTTTCCGCAGGCACCAGTGCGCTGTCACAGTCCCAATTGGTAGAGTTCCATGTGATTCGACTGTCTTCCCAATTCTGCATCAAAAATATAAATATATCATCAAGGCTGTTGTGGTGGGAGTGGAGTGCAGAGGAGGTAGTCAGAGATATATTTTTAGTTGGCAGAAAAGGGTTAATTCCTATTAAAATTGTGACTATGGACTCATGTTCTTCTTATCATTCTCCACTACCCTGCCACTGTATACCACAAGAGGAGGCATTATACCATTATCATGAGATTGACGTTGTGGTAAACGTTTGTTTACCATTTGACTGACCTTTATATGAGAGAAATGTGTGTAATATTTGATTCGTTTTTAATTTATTTGAATTTAAAGTCGTAGGGGACGAGTTTACCGCAGTATCAGATTTGGTTGATTTTTTTTTATCGTTGTTTTTGATGATGGAAATTAGGGCATTTCATATAAAGGTCAGTCAAATGGTAAACAAACGTTTACCCCAACGTGAATCTTATGATAATGGTATAACGCCTGCAAAAATTATGCTCATTGCAACTACACCAACTACTGACGCTCATGTTAACTATCATGAAACATATATTTGACTCTTAGGAGAGGTCTCAGAATGCTATCGGTGTATTCTGTGACCTATGAAAGGCTTTTGATTGTATTAATGATGAAACACTTTTACACAATCTAGAACATTACGGTATTAGATATGAATGGCAACTAAATTACACGGTATGCAGACATGACATCCTAGTCTTCCGTAATGGCAACACATGAATAAAATTGACATATTTTGCTTGTAAACACTAGTTATAATTTCACTGCCGGTATTAGATAAAAATAGGTTAGCGCAATATTAATGTAAGCTAAACTTTGTTATCCACTTTTAGACTCTCATTTTAGTTGTCTTGCATGTAGAACCTAGAATATCAATATTACGAGGTTCCCAGAAGTGTGAAAGCTTCCCAAGAACCTTAGTGTACCTTCTTTCCGTATTTTCATAGGTTTCTCGAAGCAGTTCCAAGGATTTGTGTATTATCTAATGTAATGTAAAACATGTAATAGATGACTTTGTATATCAACTTTTACCCTTCTAAAATCACCAAATTATTATAAAACATAAACACACCATTTGCAAGTCAGCGAGCATACGCGCAGTGGAAGAGTCCTCTTGTATCGAAGCATGTCTTGGGTCGAGGCTGAGCTTGATTGTGACGAGGGAGGATGGCGGTGTGTCACGGTCATACTCAGCTAACACCGTGTCGAGTTGCGTCGAAAAATCCGTTATATTCCCGCAGTCGGCATACACCTGTTCACCTGTACGTTGTATTAACTTTCTATTTGTGCATCATTAGGTTATGGGCCCATATTTTGCAAACAGATAACTTATAAAAATTAGAGTACTAGCAATCACAGAAATAGACTATGCAATTCGTTACCATAGAGAATGATGAGGTTCGTCAGCACTAGGACGACAGCCTGCGACGCCATTTCGCAAGAACTAGCGCAATGTGTCGCGGGGTATCTGCATCAGTCGCTATTAAGTGGTAGTCAACGCTCGGAACTTATCCAAGTTTAATATAATATTACACATTTATAAATTTTGCTATATATCTGCAAATAAGGCATAGTTATCCTAAACATTCAGGTACATAATCATATGGGAAAATCCTAATTATTTAGGTAAAATAAAGACAAAACAAAAACGTTATTATAATTTATGGTAATAGGCATTTGCGTCTAAATAGATGTGTTTGCGATATAATGACGTTAAATTGAAGTAGGTAAACAGCCACCTGATGAAAAGTGGCAAACGTTGAGTCTCTTGTAGACATGAATAGCACCCTGATCGTAATATGCCATGGCGCCCGTGGTATTCCCCATACGTTGCCTTTCGAGGACTAAGGTATTACGGCAGTCATGTTTCATACTCATGACCTTACCCTACTTCTTCTTCCAAACGAAACAGGCATTAATCACCATCATTAGGGTTATCGCTATTAGGGGTTCTTTAGGGTTTTTTATTTGTATTTTGTACCTAATTCTTAGATCCAATTGGAAAATGCTTTAAAATAAAATTAGAAATGTAATGACGATTTCGAAACTTTAGGTATATGTCAACTAGCATACATGGCATGTAGGTAACATCGTAGGATTGATGGAATGTACCAAATAATTTATATATGTATTTATACCTGAGAACTTTATGGTAATTAACAAACAAATTCCTCGAAAGAACCTTCCTTAAAAGAGTAACACGCAAGTTTATTGCTTGTTCTTCTTGTTCAGGCTGCGTTCCGAATAAGTGGCAGAATAAAAATATGAATATTTCAAAGTGCTTATATTAAGTTTATTTGAACATATACTATTTCTATTTCTCTAGAAATTAGAATAAAAAATGTTGCCAAAGTCTGTTCGGCGTGTAATGCGTAGGCGCGCTATCTGCACAGTCATCCGGCGCCGCAAGGGCACCAAGATTCATTATTGTATTTTTACATTCCACAATTATAATTTTTGCTATCAATCCGCGAATGAGGCATACACATCCTAAACATCCCAATCATGTGGTAAACCACACATATTTAGATATAATATCAAAATACAAAAATGTTATTTTGTTAAATGTTTCCAAACTCTAAATAACTAAACGTCATTTCTAATATCATTTTACATTATAAAATTACCTATGTTTTTTAAAAAAAATTTTCTCTTCTGGTTTCGGCCATTTGTATTGCCATTAGCCACATTTAAAACTTTTATCAACCTATAGCAGTCAATAGAGAATAAACTCTGCTTGAGTTAATAAAAAGATATAGTCATTCATAGCATTTATTGGCTACTTTTCAATACTAAGATAAGACAGATAAGATAATATTCTATTAGGAACTGCTGTTTTATGTAGAAGTAGCCAGCATGTATATGACAAATTTGCTAAAAATGTTATAAAATAGCCTTAAGCCTAAACTATATATTGACGTAAATAAATATAAAAAAATACTGGACAAAGAGATTGGATTGTCTATATGTCGTTAAATTTTAATTAGAGATCTGTTCTAAATAATATTATTGATATTAAAAAAAACTGTTGATGAAAAACTGTTGACACCCTTAGCGGAGGCCTCAGGCTAAAGTCGTATTCATCGGGCGGGAGTTGGTCTTCAGCCGCTCCATAAGTGCTTCCGCGGGTTTGGAGTTCCATCTGCAGTCGCCCCCTATAATCCGGAGAAACAAGGCCAGCTGCGACCAACACAGCATTACAGTAGTCCGAAAAAAAAACGTACAGGCTCTATGCCAATATTGTGGAAAATCTGAATAACATTTTATCTATAAAGATACAATGTTACTGTTTCCGATGTTATTATTTCCGAAATAAGTTATTCTATTCTAGTCTTTACCACCCAGATAGAAAGGTGACACCTATACTGTTATTAGCAGCTAATATCACGTACGTAGTACATTTGAGATGACTGTACTATTGCGAACTAAATAAATAAAAGAAATCATAATTTTAAAAGGAACTTTAATGCACAATAACATTTTCAATAATGTAGGTATCAACAAATAAAGATAGGTATTGTATATATTTATTACATAATCGTACAAATATACTCCTTATTCATAAAAATACTGAATGTTTTATAAATCTATTGAACCTATGAACAACCAGCCATAGACAACGGTTTTAAATAATATACGGGATCTGTTCTACCTTATTAGTAACATCCTAACTTAAAATGTGACCAATTATTAATAATAATTAATAATAAGTACAATTCAAACAGCCTCATCTAGTCCCAAACTAAGCAGATCTTGTGTTATTGGTACTAGCCAACTAAATACATTTTTTTGTATAAATAAATATATATTATAGTTAGAAAACACCCAGTCCAATACAAAGATACTGATGTATAGAAATGTTTAAGCTAGAAATCGAATATGCAAACATCGGAAGTAAAGCGGCGTACTGAACCGCTAAATGATCGAGACTATCATAGGCTGTATTAATATGTTGCTATTTAAATCCGGTTTCTACTGAATTTTGAATTATTACAGTCTAAGTTTCAGCCACTAGGTATTTTCTTCCTTTGAAATAAAGTGAAACACTTACTATCTTGCGTTAAATGACAATGTGAGGTTTTACTTTTTATGAATAAGTTAGTACATAGATATTTTAATAGCCTACTTAATATGTACTTATACTAAAAAGGAATAATAGTTACGAAAAAAAATTATCGTAACCATGTGAGTAACTTACAAAAACATGCAACAAACAAAATGTAATCAACATACGTATCTACTAAAGTTGTAATAAGAACAAACAACAATTTACTTACTAAATTAAAAAAAATTAACTACAAAATTAAGAAAATCTACTTAGAAAACATTCAGTGTATAGATACTTAAATATCCATACGAATATTACAAACCTTTTCAGGGTCGTTAATACTGGTAATTAATTGAATATGCACATAATTATTTATTTTATTAGACCATACGATAAATATATTACTTACATATAACATCTTATACTAAAAGTATAAAGGCGAAAGTCTGTATGCCTTAATTTTTCTGCATGAAAAATCTGAACGGACCTTAATAAAATTAACAGGAAGATAAACAGGAGACTGTATTAAAAATCTGCGTGGAGGTGAAATAAAGGAGATGTAAGTGAAAAAAGATTTAAAATATTATAATGAGGGTTGCAAATTTTATTTATATATTTATTCTTTTACTTACTTATCAGGTGTTGGAGGTTGTCAATCTATTCTATACATAGAAATAAAATTGGAGTAGATATGAAGAGATATGAATATAAACATGGTACATACACCAAAATGACATTTTTTACAAATTTTGTCTGTCAGTCTGTCGGTCTGTAGCTGTAGCTGTACATCAGCTGCCTGGCAAAAAAAGTCCCGTAAGAGTCCCGTAATAAGGAGTAACTTAGGCTACTTTTATTTAAAAAAAATAAAATAAAATTCGAAGTCGCGGGAACAGATAGTAATAAATATATTATGGGTAGATAGGCTATAACTTTGCCGATTAACATTTCCATTTTTACGATTCTTTTTTCATCAACACGATTTATAGCATAAAATGAGAATACATTCTGCACTATAATAATAAATATTTACATATATTCACGGTTGTAGATCCAAGTTGGGTAGGTATAGACACAGTCGATTTCGAGGTGAACGCCAACCTATTCTCTCAAATTTATTTAGTTAGCTGCGTTTCCGTTGAGTCATAAATATTTATTGTGTTTTTTAGTGTTGGTCCGGTGTGAACTCACTACCTTTAGGATCTATTAATAATCTGTGTGTGTGTGTAAACCATAAGACCGTAAATCTCTTGATAAGGTTTGATTGAACATTCGAAAATTTATTCCACCCCACCCTCTAGATATTCGTAATGTACTTTGTACTATAAATAATTATTTAATTTGGAGCTTACACCTAATTATAAAGATATAAACTAGTTATTAATTCTAGATAAACAATATTGTTTATATAACGTGGTACAATCGCGTGCAAACATTACTATAAGTAAGTACATAAACACTTTAGTACTGTGTCACACTAACAATATTGATAATGTCAAACATTTTTAAACTACCTTATTAGACTGATAAAGTGACAAAGTACTAAAGAGTTTGCACAGTACACGCGACTCTGTATGTGCATTAAAATGTTTTCCGTGTAAATATAAACACTTAATCACATAATAAATTATTAAACATCATTCAAACGGTACTTAAAATTCATATTACTATTATAAATGTATAATGTAGAGTATTTTTATTCAATAGCTGCCTTTACACGTACGCTCTTTCACATGCAAATCGGCTTACACGCCGCATCTGATGTGTATGTAAATGTAGACAAAGAGAGTGCGCACAGCCAGCTCGCGCAAACCCGCATTCTTCAATCGTCTGTGCTATAGCGCTTTTTTGTGACAATAAAAAAAAGTTAGCATTACAATATGGCGGACCACTGACTATGGAGCAAAAACATACGTAATTAAGATTTATAAACGTATCTTCGGAAATAAAATCTGTGAAATAAAAAATCAAATTTCAAAAGAAAATGAAATGATATTAACTACAAGTGCAATCACGCGCGAAAGTGTGAACACAAAAATTCTCTTCTTCTTGTTTAATCGTAGACTCATGTCAGAGTGGTCATGACTTTTATGATGGTATCTCTTCGTTGTCCTCCTTACAAGAAATAGAAAAAAAACACAAATAATAGTTAAATGCAATCATGCAATCATCAAACATATTCCGCGACCCCAAATAAATGTAATAAGGAAATAGTAGATGATGACGATGATGATGATGATGATGATTGAACGACGAATGCGCGCGCTGACTTTACGAGCTAAATTGCTCGCGCTCCTGATTGCACGTGAAAGAACGTGTAAAGGCAGTTAATATATGGATGAATTCGCCTTTATTCTTTATGACATCTATGCCTGTACCTAAGCAGCTCATTTTGTAAATCTGTATTTCAGTTTGTGTTGTAACTGGCTAATCAGATATGTATTTTATATTGTAAATTTTTATTTGAATTTACAGTTATTTTATATTACATTCTTGTTTTTGATACTTCAATTCCTTCTTTCTATTCTGTTATGTCAGTAGTCTATATTAATATATATTTTTCTCCGTTTATCTAGTCTTTTTTCTTATTACTACATGAATAAACTACAACAGTTTGGAAATTGAGAGTTATATTACAGAATATTAACCTGACACATTATTACTTAAGAATAGCACACTAGAGTATTATGGTACTTATCAAGGGCGACATTTAACATCTTGGTGTCCATGGTACTTTACATGTGCATAGACAATGGTTGCTATTTCCATTACTTTCACTGTCAGCTTTCAGTTACATAAAAACATAATCTGCGACATAAAAAAAAATCATACATACAAATTCGACAATCAAAACCAATTGCGGTTTGTACAGTTATAACTAGTGTAAACAATAAAAAACATCTATTTATATGTTCGCCGCTATAAGTGGTATTGATAGCGTATTGCAATTTTTATAAATATGGATTATTAATTTTTTTACAATGATAATAAAAATGGTAACTTTAACACCGATAGGACGTGATATTATATCTATTATTGTACTATATATACTTAATAAGATATATATCCTATTATATAAATATTTGCTCAATAATATTTAATTGCAATTATAGGTATTATAAATTATTGTATGTGATGTTAATCACATAATATCAAATGTATTGACATTGATATACTATTTACTGGTTTATGTAATTATATATATTATATCTAATTATCTACACCTATATTAATTACGTATTAACAATAGAAATTACATAAAAGTTGCGTTATAAAGTAAAATAGTCATTTGGGACCTAATTACTATATTTTTTATATAAATTTATTGAATTATGTATATAAAGACATACCTGGTTTATATTAATGACTACGTGAGGTAGACTATAATTATTTTGTTTAGTTTGATTTCTAGATGATTTATTAACCTACTGTTTCATAGTAGGAGAATGGTATGGTGGGCAACAGTGGTGAATGGTTGGAAGGTGATAGAGTCTGATCAATTAGACTATTGATAAATATTCAATATAGTTTGCTGGTTTCATGTGTTTTAAAATTATAATAAAAATAACTGAGAATAAATCACACAGCTACATGTAGCACTAAGCTAAGCAGAGCTTGAATTATGAGTAACTATCAGACAAATGATAAGAATACTTACAAACATTGTTGTAGATACATACAAACAAAAATAAAACACACAGACCGATACAAACAATCACACTAATGAATACAAAAGTTTGCTACGTGCGAGGAATTGAACCCGCGACCATTGGAAGTGAGGCGGTGAATTAAACACAGACAATCCAGACCGTCAAAAACGCAGGTGCGGTATTTAAATCCACATATCTTTGAAGTCACATCACACAGATAACAAAATATAGATTGAAGGACTTATCGATGCGGTATTTTTAGAAATTAATCCAAAACAGTATAAAATTGTACTTAATACTTAGTTTATTTTTAATATTTTTGTTGATAATTTGCATAACATATTTTATTATTTATTTATTTGTATTGATGTTGATGATAACTTTTGATTGGTGCCAAAATCTCAGTTTGGCGTTTAATTTATATAAACGAAAACTCGTTTATATACACTTTCTTTCATATTTGTACTTCACATTATATATGTTTTATACAATCAGGACGAGCTCTTCCCACTATATAAAGAGCAAATGACTTTGCAATAAAAAAAATCTCATATTTATCATATAGGCAAAGAGCAAGGGACAATTTGCAATATAAAATCTCATATTTCTCATATATAAAAAGTACTACGGTTAGCGATATAATTTTAACAGCTCTATCATTGTTCTAACGGTGGTACAGTAGGATCCTGTGATGGTATCTCCGAGTGACTCGGAGGCTGAGTGTGCTGTGCGTGGGGAAGGTAGGACCAGTACGGCGGCGCGTCGCTCGCTTGCGCCTGACAAGCTGCACTCAGTCCCCGCCAGTTGAACCGGTAAGCATATCGTTTACCAGGAACCTACAGTCAAATTATTCTGGATTATTCTATGGTTTAATGTATGCTAATGGGCGTCCAGATTGACCTTATTGAACGCTTTCTGGTGCTTTCAATGGATGATATTGGAATAGTGCACCCGTCTGCGTTGACGGTATACGCTGGCTACGCACTAGTGGAGGATGGTAAATTGAGAATGAGGTCATGTTAGTTAACCCATCGTGATAATATCACTTAGAATTATACACAATGGTTTCCAAGGAGAGCAGCTTAGAGTTCCACCTGATATTGTACATTGATAGTAATGCTCTGCTCTGTAGTCTTGTTGATTGATTAACTGATGTCGTGTTGAATAGATGATAATAGAACGGTGACTAATGCGTTTTGTCACACGACTTATGGTATATATCTGATTCACTTATGTCTGCTTCACAAAGCCGCTTAAGTCCATATTTTGCGATGCATAAGGAGTCCAATGGAGCAGGGGGACAAGTCTGCTACCGTCACTCGTATTAATTTGATTTGTTACTGGTATTTTTTTATAGCTGATAATGGAATGGAGCGTCCGCCTGCGCTAACGCTGGCGGAGTACCAGTGGAGGATGATAAAATGAGCATGAGGTCAAGGCAGTTACCCCATCGTGACAAATTCACCAGGAATTTATCATGATGGTTTCCAGGGGGAACCGCGTGGAGGTCAACCTGACATGGTACATTGCTAGCAATGGGATCATCAGTACAAATTACTAACAATCCCCTTCCCCCCTGTTACTGGTATTTATATCATCAAAGAGTTAATCACTATTATATCATAAATAAACACAACATTTTTTGGTGTCGGTCAGATTTAAACTTATAGGCTTAGGGGTAAAAGTAGCTAGTAAACGACTACGCTTTTATTTTAACGATTTATTTTTAAATAACCATGAGATATACGTACCTTGCTCATGATATTCTTATCATAATAGTACCGGAGTGCTCGCGACAGTTTGTCGTAGTTCATATTGGGTTTCTGCTTGCGGCGTCCCCAACGGCGAGCCACTTCATCGGGGTCTGACAGCCGGAACTCACCCTCGTTCTGCGAGCCCTGCCTCAACACACGCCTTTTGACAATCATCACAACACTTTATCACAAAAGTGATTCTAACTCCTACAATTCGAGCTCTTGAAAACAATTGCCAACATCATACCACTTTCATCATCATCATTAAACATCATTTGATATATAGATAGATAAATGCTTTATTCTTGCAAATACTGTATTATTATAATATAATTACAAACATAGCATACATGAGATACAGAAATATAAATTTTACAAATTAATACATGGATGTGGCTTTATATGTCGCAAAGGTGAAGAGGCAACCAACTCAGCATAAAGTTGCAGATAAATCTGGAGTGCTGATAGAATATCTATTGTTTCTGTTGGCTCGTATAATTAAATATATATATTCATATATGTGTATACGTATTAGATATCGAGCTCTTTAATACGTGCAATTACAACTCATGATATAATATGTAAATAGACTAAATGACCGCGCAAAAAGTTGTTTTGCCATATAAACTAAAATTGCTATTAAAAAATAAGGGTTAGTGATAGAAGTGTGAAAATTTAGGGTTAGGTATATATTTTTAAAGCCACATTATTAAAAAATCCTATAAATCGGTCAAGACATTTCGGAAGAGTATGGTAACTAACATTGTGACACGAGAATCTTATATATAAGACTAATTTACAAAAAAATATTGATTAAACAATTTAAAAATTTGATCAAGCCGTATCGGGTGTACTCCGATATTTATATGGCAAATAGAATTGATTGAGACGAAATACGACAAAATCCACGTATCTTTTAATTTCACTACCTCATACCATGCTTCAACCAGAAAGAAAGCTTACAAAGTGAGATGCTTGGCAGCTGAAATGAATGAGACACAGATTCTCATGCAGACGACCTTACAAAAATATACTAGTCTAGTTTTAATCACTAATGCGAAAGTTTGTGGATACGGATGTATGGATGATTGTTTGTTATTCGTGATTTGTCACGCAAGAACTATTGAACATAGATTATAATTAAAGATATTAGGTATTTTAAATTGGGCGAAATATAATGATAAATGTCAAGTAAGTGTTATGCAGGCGTAGTTGCGCGGGTCAGCGAGTGCATAAATAAATAGTTACCTCCCAGCAGATGCCGGGCGCGCCGGCTGCCAGTTCCTCCAGCAGGAACTGCCACAGCTGCACCTGACCTCCAGTGGTGCGAGTACACGAGGTCAGTGACACGTAAGGCTCTGTAACAAAAACCTTTATTTACTGCCTTTACATATACACTCTATCACGCGCGAATCGGCTTTCACGCAGGAATTAATGCGCATGTAAATGTAGACAACGATAACAGGAAAGTGCGCGCGCGCCGCTAAATCGCGCATTTCCGCGCTATTCAATTGTGCATGCTTTAACGCCTCTTTAAAATAATTTCATTTTTTTTTGAAATGGCGGATATTTTTCTATGGAACCAACATAATTATATAGTTATTGATAATCTTTCCATACTATAAAGTTTTCGCTGTCGTTCGCTAATAAGGATTTTAATGCAGTTTTTAGTAGTAGATAGAGGAAGGTTTATATGTATAACTAGCTGGACCCGACTTCGTCCGCGTGGGATTTAACTAAAATAAAAGTAACCTAAGTTACTCCTTATTACATCAGCTACCTGCCAAAAAAAGTCCCGTCAAAATCGGTCCAGCCATTTCAGAGATTAGCCGGAACAAACAGACCGACAGACAGACAGACAAAAATTATAAAAGTGGTTTTTTGGTGAATGTACCGTATTTATATTCATATCCATGTAGTAAAAAACGGTTATTTCAATGTTACAAACAGACATTCCAATTTTATTTATAAGTATAGATTAATGTACACGCTTGCGAAGCCGAGGCGGAAAGCTAGTAATTTATAAATCTTAAACATGTCTTTGGAAAATAATAATTGTTAAATAAAAAAATAAATGTAGAATAAAAGGAATAATAATAAAGTAAAATTTAATCCCTTACGCTAAATCGCGCACATTCCTGTTTGCACATAAAATAATGTGTCGTATACCTAAAGGCAGTTAATACACATTCACGATTATCTGGCTATATTGCCAATCCAATTAAAAAATGTTGATAAATGTAATTAGTTTTTGTTTTTTTAAGTAAATACTAGCACAACTCCAGCAAGATAACATATAATAATGACAAACCCGGGCGATTCTAGACTTTATAATACGTATGTACAAAAATTACTTTCATGCTATATTTAATTATATGGATTTTCGATTATTCGAATGCCTTAATACATCAATTAGTCGAGTTAATCAAGTTTTTACTGTATCGAGTAGTTATTTAGCGCGATTTCACGTATTTAAAAAACTCCTCAACAAAATATCGCACTGCAGTGCCAGTACCAATATTTTAAAAAATGAAAAAAAAAATGTACGTATTTTTAATTGTCATTTTATTCACTACAATTCAAGTATAGTGAAGGGAATATGAAATCTAAAAGATTTGTATACTAATGTAGAAATTGCATTACTATATATAATATTATAGTTATATTGTACCACATTATTTTTTAACTTGACTGAGGCCCTAAACACCTGTAGGTATTGTATGTACGTCATTTTCTCATCTTATTTCATAATCTCTACATGAATCTTTCGCCGTAAGAACTGTACAAATTTAAACAGTTGAAATGGCTTTGATATGATTAGGTACTATTATTAAATTATCTCCTAATGGTTCTGTACTAATTAAGTTGCTTTTTTTTTGTAAAAACATTAATTTAAAGATACATTCAATACAAGATACACTCAAACATTCTTATTTTTAAACTTTCTTGTTTAGTACACATTATTAATATAATAAAACGGGTTTAACACGAATAATTTTGTAAATAAAGGTTGTAAACAACTTTATTTACAATATTATTCGTGTTAAATCCCTCGACATTTCGACTAGGTTTCATTGCAACTGACCAAGGCTAACGCAACGAGAGAGAAATTTTTATTTGCCATAAAATCACTCAAAATTTGTCAATTTTATATGTATATGCTACGTTATCGAAGAGTAACATTGGTCAAAATTATTGTAAATATATTACAATATGATTGTTAGTTATGTCAATAAATAAACATAAACGATTGGTTGAGTTAGTAGTAAAAACACGGTAGTTTAAACATTCTTGAGTCTAAAATATGCAAAGATATTACTTACTTTATATTATATTTTAACACCGTTTTTATTAAAACATATGTGGTTTTTAACATGGGGTTTTGTAAACTATATCAATTTACAAGAAATAAAATGCACCACACACACAGTTAACATTCTTCTTGTCACAGTGGAGACAGTAAGACGAACTGGATAGTAGAGATAGTGATAACAAAATTCGTAGGTACATAATGAATAAATGATGTTGAATTCGATTTTGAAACATTAAATTAATATTCACGAAACAAAACAGTAACTGACCATGATATAGATGGTGTAAACGCCGATGATGGTCGGCCGCGCTCAACCACAGCATCACGCGTGTCCAACAGCACCTACACACCGACACCGTCGCGACATCCCGTACACAACCACCGTTACCACAGACAACATTACCGATAAAATAATCTCACAAAATCCACACATGTGCAATTAACCTTTCGATAATGATGACTAAAGTTACAAGTACTCACTCACTCAAAAATCTCAAAAACAGAAAAATAAAATATAATGTCAATAATCATAATAGACGACATCTTTTTAAATAGAATTCGAATTTCTTTATTCGTTTAATTCCAAATTTAAACGTTTAAAATTGTTATATATTTAATGGTATTTTCAGTCAATACTTATTCGATTTTGAAATAAATGTAAGTTACACGAAATTATCCAATTGTATCCTTTTTTCCCCGGTTCAAAATGCAATTGCAATAAAATCCGGATATGCGGGCGGATGCGAGACCGGAAACGTGGAAGTGAGGAGCCGAGGCGAGATCACAGGTCGAACCTCGCGCCGCCCTCTGACCTCCGCCCTCTTTGGCGACCCCACATACAACCACACGGAATACAAAACCGTTGAGATATTGAATCACGAAGTCCCCAAATTAAATCTTGATCTTTGGTGGAAAAACTTCATGAATATGCGGATGTCCCGTAATTTATTGTGCTTTAGCTTCCCGTCCGGATTCGGTCGGACTCTTTTACATCTATTTTTTAACAATAAAATGTAGCTATAATATAGATGAAAGTAATAGATTTTTTGCTAGTTCTAAGATATTTAGGTTAGGTAATAATTTTTATTTGAATTAGAATAAATAATATTCTCATTAAAGTCTAGACATTTTTTTATGAAACTAAAATTGAAGTCTCTTTGTAATTTCAAATTAACAGCTTTTCACTAAAAACATATGAAAGTACCTATATAAAAAAAATATTTAATAAATTTTTGTCTGACAGTTTGTTCTTGCTAATCTATAAAACAGCTGGACGATTTTGACGGGAATTTGACTTACAGATAGCTAATATTATAAGGAGTAACTTAGGCTACTTCTATGTTAGAAATTTTATTTATTTTAATTATAAAAAAGTTCAAATTCAAGCCGATGAAGTTATTGTTATAAACTGTAGATTTTTAGTGTCTTGTTTTGTGTCTGATTAAATATCAAGGTAACCTCTGTACAAACATGTCTGCGTACATTTTTCTGACGTGTTTCGATGAGATAAAGCAGTGAAATTACAGGGTATTATCATATAAAAATTTACTTCTATATAAAAAAAATATTTAATAAATTTTTTTTGTCATATGACGGTCACTATTTACCATTTGTTCTTACCTCCAATAACATAAAAAGAAACTCAAGAATCTTTAGTTGTTTTCTTGTTGCTATTAAAAAGATTAACCGTAATTTTCTTCTAGTGGCAACACATCTTGATCCCATTGTGATATGTTATTTCGTAACTAAGTAAAACGAACCAAGGATTACCATCACGCCATCAGCCTGTTTGGAATCCAATTAAATAAAAAGAGACTTTAGTTTTTTTTTGTTGCTATTGAAAAGACTAACCGTAATTTTCTTCTTGTGGCAACACATCTTGATCCCAATGAAATATGTTATTTAGTGACTACGTAAAACGAGGGTGCGGACTTCGAAATCGGCAGGCGTCCACATGCATTATGCATACACGTCCCGCCGCGCACCGTGGGCAATATTGTTAAACGATTATCAAACTGTAGTAATATCGAATTTTAGTAATATCAAATCGTCTTGTTTTGTGTCTGATTAAATATCAATGTACCATGTCAGGTCGACCTGGAAACCTGTACAAACATGTCTGCGTACAGTTATTTTCATGTTCACGTGTCATTTCGATGCTCCGCCATAAACCGTTAGCGCAGACTGGTGCACCATTCCATTATCATCCACTAAAAAAAATATCGTATCATGGAATATCACCAAATAATATCATATAAAAATTTAGTTTTGATTTCTTATGGATTTGTGTGAATGAAAATGCATGGTGAAACAGAATTTTAATATGCTTAATAGAATTATTTCCTTAAGGCAAGTAAAAATCATGTGTTCCATGAACACTTTTTTTACATGTACCCATGTAGACTTTGTTTGTTGTGCTGTTCTATGTATATCCACGAAAAAAATATAAATCACTATTTATCCATCTGGTGGTCATAAGACAAATTTTTTTTACCATACCAATAACATGAGAAAAAAAAGTAAAAACTAGGAGCAGATAACAAAGAATCTTTAGTTGTTTTCTTACAAAATTGCTAAATATTAGAAGATTTAAAATATTAATCCTTTATCTATATTTTCTTCAAGTGGCAACACTGATCTTGATCTCAAACATTTGTGATATGATTATTTGTATTCGTATTATGAACTTATTCCCATTCAGTTTACGGCTTAAACTGAACTGCCTGGCGATTTCGTATCATCAGCCAGTCAGCGGTCACGTGACCTGAACGTCTTCTGCGAAAATGACCGGCTATTTCGTATTATGAGCGTTTCATTTGAAATAAGCGGACACAACTGTCAAAAAGACCGTTTAAAAACAATTCAGTTTACGGTGGCTTCATATTAGCTTTTATAAATTGTTTTCTAATTTATAGCTTCATTATTGTAATTTGGTTATTATTTCTATTTCTATGTCAGTTTTTATTATGTTTAAAACATGTTTGTGCAGTTATTTCGATTGTTTTTGTTTCGTTTTAATTTTAATTATGTGTGATGAACTCGAAG